TTAATTCAGACTCAACAAATCTGTGCAGTCATGGATTAATTCAGACTCAACAAATCTGTGCAGTAAGACCTTTAAAACACAACATCATAGCTAACTTTAAATGGAGGAGTTGTTTCAGGGCAAACCAATAAAGTTGAGCTGCCGTATTGGACATTAAGTTCACAGCCTTGTATTTACAGTGAATTCCTCGTACTCTGCACAGCACTACTAAAGGTAGCTCCAGTTTTGGGATACACATTTGAAGCACTTCTTCCTCTCAAGTTACCAAGGTTAAGTTAATTGAATCTTCAATCCAGCTTTGCCTTATTTTTGATACGCAGATCTGATATCTGAGAGGCATGTGAGAGCTGTCATCATATCTTTGCCAACTGGGTTAAGAACTCAGGAAGTTTAATGTTATACAGTACAGTAGTAGATTCCCAAGCCCCTAGGCCCCTTTTTTTTTTAAATTCCCAAGACATCAACAAAATGTTATTACGTAATTGCCTCATCCAGTTTGAGTCCTTCTAAGACATGTTCTTTTCTGCAGGAGATGTATTCCTGGACTAGGCCCTGCTTTGTCACCAAATCCTTTGAATCCAGAGAGCACAGCACTGCCCTTAAGGTTTACAGTAGAAGGAAGGAAGTTTACTTATCAACATTACAGATGTACTTTATTTTTAGCATTAGCATTATAAAATTATTGTCATGCTCTCTGATTACTCTCGGTGACAAAAATATATTCACAAAATTAATTAGCCAAGAAACATTTTCTGGGTTATCTCAAAGGTAGAATGGAATAATTGGGTCTAATTATATTGCAGGTGGTGTCATTCTTTTGAAGTCCTTTTGCATTTATGGAAAGTGTTACATAGGATTCTAAGATAAAATGTTAGCATTTGTTGGTCAAACAAAAAGTCCATGTTGGCGCGCATGAGCAGAGATCAGACACCCTTTAGTTTGGACTGTAATGAGACTACTCGGGGCTACTCAACTCTTCATGTCTTTCCAAGTCCATGTCAACACTCACAACCCCTCCCTCCCCACCATTCAGACCTAGACTTACAGTGCAATAGGAGCACCATCCTAGGAGCCCGTCGAGCATGTTGCTTAAGGTTGTGAAGTGTCAGCCCAGAGTCTAAGAAGATCTGATTCCATAAAGCCTCCTTTTACCCTCCTCATAAAAGGGACCCCAGGCCAACCCCTCATGTCTAGAGAAGAGAAACTTTGCTTTAAGGTCTGCCATCTAAGGGCACGATTGTGTCCTCGTTTTCCTTGGCAGGAAGGAGAGAGGTGGTGGGGTCGGTGGGTGGGGGGTACAGATTCATGGAGGGTCAACAAGGGATGAGTTCTCCCACAACAAAATCTGTACATTAAAAAACACAGTGCGTAATTACTTAAATTGGCACGCCCCAGTGAGCAGCTGGATGACTGTATAGATCATTGTGTGTGTATGAGTAGTTTGGTGGCGTGCAAACTATGCCACTGGAGTTCCATTTCCAGGACGTGGACGGGTCAAGAGATCGTGAGATCTGGCAGAAGATTTAGGAAATGCTTCCAAAAAGGAGCTTGCATAGTATGCAATGTCTAGTTGGGTGCTCCTCGATCAGTACGTCCCCTTGGGGCAACAGCAAAAATAGGCATGAATTTAATAACTTGGTCTTGTTTGTTAGGCTGAGCAGAGTGTGGAAGTGGAAACTAAATAGCACAGGGCTGCGACTTGCTTCACTAGCAGCTTACTATAAATCAAGGGAGCTGCTAAAAGTCAGAAGTGTGTGATGACTAGTCACAGTATCATCTCTCCGTCGCTTATGCACCTGTTGAAAAAGACCAGGAGCAGCTGGTATCGCACTGTACTCTCTTGACAAATGATATAAATTACTGAAGTATAACGACCAATGAAATGATAACTTTCCTGGAAACAGTCATCAAGAGATGGCTTATTTCATGGATAGAACTTTGGAAAAGAAGTTGTCATTGATATGTAGCAGATATTCAGCAATTATATTTATTTTTACACGATATAAAGCTGCTTTGAGGAGCTTAAATAAACCCAACTTAGGCACAAAGATAAGATGTGAAGCTTTTACTGCAGGGGCCGCCAAAGTCAACCTGAAGCAAAAGCTCCTCACAGGAGCTTTAATAATATTGTCTTGTTATGTACCAGCACATAATGTAACTTACAGTGATGATTTTAAAGCTTTTCTTTAATTGCCACGTAAGATTTGAGTGTTCTGTCCTGACTGTGATAAGCTCTCAGTGCTTAGGGGAGGAAGTAGCTTAGTCCTAAGGGACCTGGGTTGAGAACAGGAGTGTTGCTGGTACAAGTCCTAGTACGGACCAAAGTAATGGTATGGTTGCTGTAGAGATGCCAGCCCATTAGCAAGGCACATAATTGCCAAAAGCTCAGACGAGTCCCTCTGTGTCTCATTACGACATCTCTCCAATAATGCCAATAATTGACTGTTCAGAAACACTCCACAGCTCTTCTAACAGCTTGCTTTTACACGATCTCTTATTTGGTGCCAACAAGCCTTTACATTTAATTTTCACTGTTGTTCTGCTGACTTCCTAAAATGTCCATTTATCATCGGGACGGTTGGTGATTCACTTCTGCATCACAGTCCACGCTGAATCCAGCATGGTGACAGTAACTGAACTAGATGTTTTTTCTTCTATTTTTCGCCCTCACATGACAATCTTTTGAGCAGCATTATGTAAGTCCTCATCAAAGGCCCTCCTTCCTAAAAAGAGTGTCTTTGATTTGTTTCTTGAGTGTTTGGCACAACACTGGACCACTGCCTGCAGTCTCCTGGCATTGAGCTTTCTCATCCTGCCATGAAGTCTTTGACGGACACACTCAAGCAGAGTAGCCTGTTCAAAGTGAGCTTTTGTTAACCTCTGTTGTTAACATTCACGGGACATGCACTCAAGAAAGAGCCATCGAGATGAGAGTCTTCTGTCTATTCATCACACATCCTGAGCTATCACGACTTGTCAAGTAGTGTGTGTGGACTTCTGTGTGCTTATGTAAGAATGTTTACACGAACAGAAACCGTGAGATTACAAGCAAAAGGCATACTGTGATATCAAAAGCATATCAACTGTAATCGTATAAGAAGAAAGACTGTGCTGGAACATGTTAGACCTTTGGCCCTGTAATTATTATAGTTGGTATAGTATTGTCTCTGAATTAATTGTGTTTGGGTAACTTGAGTTGAGCCTCATACAGGCAGGTTTAAGCTAACGGTTCAGGCTTTGTATGCAAATGGTAGCTCCAGGTGCACCATTTCAATCTTTGGTTGGTTCAATCACTCTTCATTACATTATACACATATCAGCCATAATATTATGACCACATGCCAAAAATTATGTCGGTGCCAGGGGCAAAAGCGGGGCCTGAAGAGACATCTACTCCACTAGACCTTTAAAAGCGTACTGCGGCATCTAGCACCAAGACTTAGTCCCCATTGGTTGCAAGGTGGGTCCGCCATGAATCCGACTCGGTTGCCCAGCACATCCTACAGATGCTCAACTGAATTGAAATCTGGGGAATACAGAGGCCAGGTCAACAACTTCAACTCATTGTGTTGTTCCTCCAGGCTGTCTTTCCTAATGCTCAGTGGTCCAGTTCTGATAGTTATGTACCCATTGTACTATAGATGGTGGACAGGGTTCAGCATGGGCACCCTGACTGGTCTGTGGCTACACAGCTCACATACAGCAATCTCTAATGAACTGTGTGTTCTGACGCCCTTCTAGCAGAGCCAGCATTCACGTTTTCAACAGTTGAGCTCTGGTAGCTCTTCTATTGGATCTGACCGGGCGACTATGCCTCACTTGGTAGAGTCGGTCGGAAGGTTGGAGGTTCGATCCCAAGCTCCTGCAGCCACACGTCCGGTGTGTCCTAGAGCGAGACACACCAAGATGCTCCTGCTGCTTCGTCAGTGGTGTATAAATGTATAAATGGGGTTAGTTACTTCTGATGGCCACTTTACATAACAAACACTGCCTTTGCAGCCCATGAGCAAGTCACTGGTTCACCATTTTTCCTTCCTTGGACCACTTTTGGTGGACCACTGCAGACTGGGGAACACCCAACAAGAGCGGCAGTTTTGGAGACGCTCTGAGCCAGTTCTCTAGCAATCACAATTTGACCCGTGGCAAAGTCCCTGACATCCTTACCCTTGCAGCGTTTTCCTGCTTCCAACTTTGATGACAAAATGTTCACTTGCTGCCTAGCATACCCTACCCACTGACATGTGCCATTAAAAAGGAATAGTCAATGTTAGTCACTTCACCATTATCATAATGTTATAGCTGATCGGCACCTCTTCCTTACAGTATTGTAGGCTTGCTGAAAGGTGTGTGAGGGGAAAAGTGAGAGTTAGAGACCACAGCAGCTTGAAACCAAAGACCTGACTTCCTTTTATCAGCTGGATCAGTCGGTTCCTGTTTCTCGATTACAGCGTTAGGTTGCAGGAATAAGAGTTAAGTTGCAGGAATAAGAGTCTTAAGTCGAACTGTAAGTGACAGGAAAGTAGGAATAAAGTGGGTCGAGGAGCTTTTGCCTGAAACATACAATCTTTGCAAAAAGTGAGAGAGGAAGAGTGATTTTCCATTTATGGGATTTCCTAAAAAATGAACAAAGTTTAAAAAGATACTTAAAATTTTATTATTTTGGTCGCTAGATAAGAAAACCTGCTAGGTTAAAATATTTCCAACAAAATTGTTGAAATCCAATAATTTTGGATACGATAGAAAGTTTCCAAGAAACTTTGTACAGACTTTCATGTTCCCCAGAGGTTGTCCCAATGACTCTAGGTATGGCTTTGCTTTTATTCTAGCCCCACCAAGAGGTTGATCGTTTCAAGTTTTATAGTGGAAATGTCTTGACACTATCCGATAGATTGTGATGATATATGCTGCAGATATTCCAGGTCCAGAGGGGAGGAAACTTTTTTTGTTTTTCATTGCTGAACCCACAGCAATCATTCAAAGGAAAGCTATCAAACAGGACATTCTGAACAATAAAGCCTTTATTTTTTTGTCTTTCCATAGTTCAAGTTTGTCAGTCCCACCCAATGAAAAGGTGGCAAAATAGAGTGAAGGAGTAAGAGGTAGAGCAAGTGTTCCATTCTCATTGTGATCAGCGTAAAAACTCACTTTTACACACCAAGGGAATGGCCATCCAAAGAAGGCCGACTAAAACAAAAAAGGAAAAAGGAAGGGGAAAATAAAAACAAAACCAAAAAAGAAAAGAAAGTACAGCAGCTTCTTTGTGGTGTTGCTAGCTTTCCCTTATTATTCACAATCATAAATACTCCTGACTTACTGACTTTTGATAAAGGTCGCACTACAGTGTAAACCAGAGAGGTGATGAGTGCTAGCCATGAACAGACGCATGCATGGCAGGTATCATCACTATCCTCAACACCACCATCATCACAGTCTCTGAACACTTGAAGCGGGAAAAAAAAACCTGCCACATGGCAAAAGACCTCTCGCTTTGTGTCCAAGGCGAGGAGGCTCTGCATAGTATGGTCACACAGAAGAGATAATGGTTGCCCACCAAGGACTGAAAAGAGGCTCTCGGTCCAGCACTCAAGGAGAGTATGACCTAGGGAAAAATAAAATGAGGTCGTCTCCGCACGAAAGGGGGAGCGAAGAAACCTGAGCGGCGGCGCCTGACAGCACATCAGTCCAAAGTAGGTGAATGACAGTCAGCTGGCCCTGCAAGTCCAAGTGTTTGTGTATGACGTGTCACACTGCATTAAAACTAACTAATACCAACCACTCTACCACTCAGCAGCACTGCTAGGTTGAGGCAGTGCCATGTTACATTAAAAAAAAAAAAAAAAAAAAAGGAGAAAGTATTTACATCTTCAACACATAAATTATTTCCCTAACATACTGTCTGTGTAATGCATAATAATAAGGTATCTGGGGAAAACACATCAAGATAAGTGCCTCGTATGAAAAGACCATGCTGACTCCAGAACTGAGAAAAATAGACAAAAAATAAAGATTTAAATGCTGCTGAAATCAAATCAAATTGCAGGACAGAAAAAGTCCAAAAGTAAAGAGAAAAAAATACAATTAATGCAGAAATTCATGAGAACGATTTGAAGAATGGCACAGAGATTAAGATGAAGCTGTAAGCTCAATTAGACGACCCTGAATACTTCCAGGGTGCCACGATGCTAGTACTGACGCCGACTTGTAAATACCAAAAGACAGAAGAGTGAGAAAGGGTCACTGCATGAGGAGTCTCCGCTCAGATCAATATTCAGATGACATTGGACACTTCGCATTCCTGCCTCTCATGACCGAGAGATCTAGGAATGACTTGCGACTTCTTCCATCCAGAATGTGACCTCTCGACATTTCTTACGCATTTGTCTCTGCTGGAGTTCCCAAAGGCTTGTTCTGAAGCCCGAGCGCTGAATGAATCGATGAAGAGCAGAAGCAGGTCGGACTGCTCACCTGATGCAATGTGACGAATAAGGCCCCTAGTCCGGTAAAATTCACACTTGTCGAAGAGATACAGTATCAAAAACTCCGTATAATGAGAAAAACATACAAACGCATTATGCAAATATAGCTTTCAATACACAACAACATAAACATTAACTGATGGTTTTGCAGATGAAATTCAAAAATTCAAAGTATTTATACAATATGCTTCAGAAGGAAATAATGGCTGGCTCTGTCCGTTTTATGGAGAGAGAGAGAGAGAGAGAGATAAAAAGAGGGCAGGGGGGGCAAAAACAGAAGAAGAAAAGGACAAAAAAACCAAAGTGGGTTCAGTTCATATCTGTCGTGTTGAATGATGGCGCACATAGGAAGCTTAGAGGAGCAAATTAAAACCTCTCCAGTTGTTGTTGTTTTTTTTTTACCGTATAAGTTCATATTACCGCCACACCCCTGCTCCAGTGCTGCCTTGTTGCTGTCAGTCTTTGGGTCATCCCCCCCCCCTCCCCACCCCATCCCTGTTGTGTGCGGGTGCATGAGAGTCTGTCATTCCAGTGAGTTAAAAAAAAGAAAAAAAAAAAGAAAAAAAAAATAGGTAGGCCATTGGTTTGTTTTGCTGAGAAGTCCCGCCTACCCTGATGAAGGCGGAGCCAGGTCGGAGCACATCAGTCATCCAGGATGACCTTGACAAAACTGGCCACGTCTGTGTCTTTGGAGTCATGCAGGGTGAAAAATGGATGTTGCTGCATCATAAAAAAAGAAAGAAAGACAAAAAAGACAGTTTGAGTTAGAAGGACAAATTTGAACGATGCTTTTGTTGTTTACATGTAAAGCACCAACACCACTATGTTGGGGGTTAATTGGGAAAGCCTGGCCTCTAGTGGACAAATGCATAAACAACAGCAAGCAGAACATTACAACAGGGATGTATGCAGGAGAGAGGATGGAAAAGCAGAATCATCCTTTAGATTGTTTAGGGGGGGTAAGAGAAGAAAATGTAAAAAACTACTACTCACCATTAATTCTGTATAAGCTGGTCTCTCATTTGGTTTCTTTCTTAAGCTGTAAAAAAGAGATGTAAGTAAGAGTGAGAAAAAAGCTGATAAGACTGATAATGAATCAAAACATCTAAGAAAGTCTAGTGACATAGTTATCTTCTGACAAGAATTGGAGCAGCACAGATAAGAGATAACAACCATCCTTGTCAGTAAATATCAAGGGAACAACGCCCCCTGCTGGGCCTCTATGCTGCTCTGCACTAAAGTGTCTGAGGAGCATCGAGTTGGGGGCACAAAAAAACAACACAAAAAAAACACACATTATCACCAAGTGCAGACACTTACCACTGGGAGATGAAGTCTACAAACTCTGGGGAGAATCGGTCGGCTGGCAACTGCGGGACGGCTCGTCCACCACCTGCTTGAGCTGCTGGAACGGGGTCCCCCAGGAGTCGTAGGGGAACTTCAAAATGGCCAGCTCAATCTATGAGACACAGACGAGCTGATTAAGCAAGGACTGTACATGATAGAGCAAAGTTTGAATCAAGAGCATGTCTCGTGGCAGAATTTTCAACAGCTAGGTGACTTCATTCCTACCATGTTATGAAATATAAGCTGCCTATAATGGGATCATAATTATCATATTTAACTAAGTCAGCGTTTCCCCTGAGGTTTATCTGTGTTACTCAATAAAGCTAAAAATGTAACCATAATATATTTTACATAGTTTACAATACAAAACATCACAGCATGTTAGGCTTTTGCTAACACGAGGTCAATAGTACTTACGATGCTATGAAAATCACACTTTTTAAATCACATGATTTATGTCTGACGAAGTGTTTTAAGCACAATCTTAACCATTATTTAACCCCAAGATTATTTTTGGGCCCCCATTGGAGAGACAGGAGAGTGGACAGAGTAGGGAATCTGGGAAAGAGAGTGGGGAATGACATGCGGGAAGGTAGCCACAGTTTGGATTTGTAACCGGGCCGCCCACTCCGAGGACTACAGCCTCTGTACACAAGGCGAGCAAACTAACCACTCTCCGGCACCCCACTCTTCACCACATTTAAAATATCTAAACACAATCTGGTTCCAAATGATGAATAGAGAGTTAGTAAGCATTTGAGTGAGTGATTTTGTTTTGTAACACAAGTGAGACTCCTTGTTTGCTTATACCATCTTTGTGTGTGTAATCTGACACTGAGAGACACAGCGTCCCGCTCTGCTTATCACAAAACTTTGAGAACTAACTTTTAGAAAGGAGTGTCGTCTGTTTGTAACGTGCAGCACGCAGAGTTCGGCATATGCAGCTCAGTATTGCAGTCGATTGACTCAACGTAACAGAAGTGCCTGTTTGTATAGCTTGTAGTTTATCATCACAGTTTACAGCACATGACAAATTCTAAACTGTACAGGAAATGATGTGAAAATGTATTTCTCTATTGGCTGAACAGGACAGTGAAAAGCGTACAAGACGTTCATGCTCTGCTAAAAGAAAAAGAGTGGACATGGATTAATTTCATTCCATGAAATAATGACTTTGTGCCTTTCTTTTGGAGGGCTGGAGGTCACTTTTCATAATCTAATTGAAAACTTTTGAAAACCTTTTTCAACCTCCAAACAAATATAATTTAATACAAATTTTTCGCTGCATAGTGTCGTTGTTTTCAGATTTCATGTGGGACTCGACAGCTTTGATGCCCATTGTTCAAAGAACAAAAGTTTCCTGCATATCGTAGAAAGTCGCTTTGTAATCATCGTTTACCCCTGCCAATAATTCCCTGTATTTCTCATCTTGTAGCCAAATTTCCTAGAACAAGCATGTCTCCATCTTCTCCCCCGTCTATCCTCCACTCAGGATGCAATGAAGACAATTTTCAAATGCAGCAACAAACAGAAAGGTAGCAATAACATTTAGCATTCATCTAAAACAAATCACTAATGACATAAGCTGCTGCACTCAGCAACAATGATGTCACTCACCATCGTGATACCAAGACTCCAGATGTCCGACTTGACACTGTAGCCTTTCTGGTTGAGGTCAGGGTTGATCCGCTCGGGCTGAAACAGAATGATAAACTACAGATAAGCACCCCTGCACCTAATAGTGCAACCATCAGTAAATAATGTGAACAATACGAAAGTCAATGACAACAATTTTCAAACATAAATAGTAACAAAGAATGACTAAATAGAAAAAATGTAATCTGATAAAGGCATTAATGTTCCTTATTTAACAATGTGAATCAATGTAAGGAGGTGAAATCGATCAGAAAAGATGTATTTTTTTTAGGAGTTTTATGTGTGACTTCATTCCAGGCAAGATGTTTGCAAGTTTATGTGCAAAGCTCTGATGGAGGCTTCATTACCATCAGTGCAGGATCTAAATGAAACTCCTTGCATGTCAATTTCTGCTTTTCCTCTGACTAAGGATGTTGTTGCATTAGGCACAACCTCCTCCCCCGCTGGTCTGTGTTCACATTAGTAACGTGCCCGAGTACACAGTCCGATACAGCAGGTGGCAATATGCACATAGTTGGTTTACAAATATGCCAAAAAGGAGAAAGAGGAAGCAACCATGGCAACCACTTGAGGGCTGAGTCTACCCTTCTAACTTTGGACGTTTTTAGTATTTCTGAGACGCCAAACACAACCCTCCTCCTACTTCCACATCTATCGTGCAGCTCAGAGGATGAAATGGGCCCGTGCTGCGCAGATACAAAAGGTTTTTTGTAGCGAAAAAAAGTTGCCGTTCAGAATTTGTCAAATAGTGGTCCACTTTGTTTGAGCACAGTCACATTCACATCTCCCACGAACCATACTCGAGTTCACATGAATCGTGCCCCAGGACCACCTCTTCAAGCAGACTCGGGCACAGTGCCCGATTACGGTACGTTTGTGTTCACTCTGATCAAACTGGACTTTGGGATCTAGTGCACTTGGTTCGGGGCCGAGGTCTCTAGTGTGAAACCACCCTAAGAAGGAGCTGGTAGACTAAGGAGGAGTGTCTGACATGGACAATCCATTCAGAGAATCCTTCCAGAAAGCTCAGCTAGCTGGTACCAGGAGACCCTGTTCCCTGCTCTACCCACTTACCGCCATGTAGGGCTTGCAGCCTGCATCCATTGTTTTGGCCACCGAGTCCACCAGGTGGCCGCTGATGCCGAAGTCGCACATTTTCACTTGGCCCTCAGTGTTGATCAGAACATTGGAGGGCTTCACATCTGGAGAGAAGACATTGACGGACATAGGATGAGGTAGAAGATATCAAAAACCAGACTGACAAACATCAACAGGAAACTGTTAACTGTACAAAGTGATGACATCATCTAATTACCTCTGTGTATCACTGACAGGTTATTGTGAAGATGCTCTAATGCCTTGACAATCTGTGGAGTAAAGAGAGAAAGTGAAGGGAAATGTTGAACACTTAAGGAAATATGCTCAATGTTTTCAGCTGATCAGAAAATATAAGGACTATTTAAGATGCATGTTATTAAAAGATATTAACAAAATAATAGCTACATTTTGATTGGTATGCTTGTTGTTGTCTTGTATCTGGAGTCACACTTATTTGATTTTAAAAACACAGATTAAGTAAAAAGGAAGCACATCCTCAGTCCACAGAGGTTTTTCCAAATAAAAGAGAATAGTGACTTTTTATCTAATTTGAAGCATCCTTACAGCTCACAGTTTTTTGTTTTTTTTCTTAAATTCATTAATAGAAAAATATAAGTATTTAAATATGAAACTGAAAATGTGTAGTTTGAGGCTAAATTTGATTAAGAGATGCACCAATTGCAATCTCTAACACATTTCTATTTTTTCTTTATATGAAGAAGTAGAACTCACAGCCAAAATAAAAATAATGTTTTATGTTCAGAAGAAAACTGTTTTTAAAATACCAGGTTACATGACAATCTGTCATTCTCATGTTAGGTAAAACCTGCTTCACTCTCTACAGCTGCATTCTTCGCGACTCCTGAAGAAATCATGAATGATCCATCAAATAGAGACAGAGAGAGAGAGAGGTAGCGAGAGAGAGAGAGAGAGAGACAGAGAGAGAGACCCTCCAGTAGGTCGACGCTTTGTGGCCTCTGCTGATTGGCACCTCACAACAACACTGTGGCAAGTCCAGCCGGCTAGTCTTTAAGTAGCTGTGCACATGGCATGAAGCATGCGGCTTCGGTTTATCCGACATCGACACAGAATGTTTCAGAAATGTTGAAGTGTCCAATAATGCACATATAACTGGGCTTTAATCTTAATTTGTCAAATATGGGAGAGGACGTACTGCTACTGTGATCTTTCCCAAGATGTCCTCTGGGATGGTTTTGCCCTTCTCAATAACGTTCTTGTAGAACTTATCCAGAGACGTGTCCATCAGCTCCATGCAGATCCAGACATCGCCCTGGACAAAAAAAAAAGAAAAAAAAGATGTCAACCAAAAAATATGAAACAAGATCATGACGCTCTCCACGTGACATGGGTACGAGTCATGCATGTCTTTGTTTGTTCACCTCTCTAAAGAGGGCACCATAGAAGGTGACGGTGAAGAAGCAGTCCACTGTCCTCATGGAAATGTCCAAGTCCATCAGGAGCCTCTTCTGCTCCAGAGTGTTGACTGTGGCACGAATCCTCTGAGGGCACAAACATCACAGATTGGGCTCTCAGTGTCATCAGCAGGCAGATATAGCTTAAAATCAACTGGTGTCCCCTGACATATAACATGTCAAATAGATCCAAATGTTTACTACATGAGCTCATGCGTTGAACATATCTAAGAGTCAGAACGGCACGCTTTAAAAAAAACCATGATGCATTTACTTTACAGGAATGCCAAATCAGGTAACCTGAGCAGCAGCCCCCCCCCCCCCCAAGCCTACCTTGACAGCCATGATAACCCCGCTGGGCACATGTCTCATCTTGTCCACCACCCCGTACGCTCCCCTCCCCAGCTCTGCAATCTGCTCCAAGTCATCGGCCTTCACCACAAAGTTCTGAAAGAAGGAAGCAGATGTTGCTTGAACATGAGTAAAAGGAAAAAAAAGGTAGGAGGGTCGATTTCAAAGGATTACAGAAACAAATGTACCTGATCTCCAATAGTAACACAAGCTTTAGAGTCAAGATCTCGAGGGGGGCTGCAGAGAAAAAGAAATCAAAGAGAAGAGGTCACTCATAAAGTTACATAAATTCAAGTATTCAAGAGTCAGTATTCTAAAAATAAAATGTAGACTAATGCTGCTCAGTCTAATGGGCCTCCATACATGTGTGGTGGTGACTGTGTCTGCAGAGAGCCTGTCCTGTCTGGATTTAACTGTTTTGTGTTATTTTGGTCTGGGTCCTGGTGGGGAGTAGATGTGTTTCCCCCAGCCAATGAAAGCGCGCAGGTGAGTTTAGGGGTGGATACAATTAAGCGATTGGACGCCATTTGAACCAGTAAATATGACGGACGTGGAGAAAATATAATCAGAATGAGGGGAAACAGTATTAGCCATGGTAAAAACTGATCAATATCTGTGTCCAGTCCCTTTAGGGCTTCCTGTTTTTTTGAGGAAACTCAAACAGCTTCATAAGTCCTTTCATGGGAACTTTAAAGCCACAATGGCTCGTAACAGAGTAACTCCACATTAGCTGTGCCAATGTAGTGAACTGTGCATTCCACGGTTGGGAAAAAAAAAAAACTATCTTGTCGATATGCTTTGACAAAACAGTTCCCTATGTGCCTAAAAGGGATGTCATTCTACACTTTTTAGTTACCCATTGGTTAATATCTATCTATAAAACGCTCATAGTTTATTTAAGGGGAGCTATAAATACAGAGATTACAAATTGACCCATTAAAGTATTCTATCTCCCAACTTTAGGAACCTCTCTGAGCATAGGATCTGACACTTTTTCTATTGAGAAAAAAATTAAGAGTCTTACGCTGCTGCTGCTGGTGCAGGCTGTGCAAACACTTCTTTGGCCAGCTTCAGCCCAGGGTTCTTTTTCTTCCCTGAGAGACAGAAAAAATGAAACATGATTATCACAGCTCTTTGTTAAACATCAAAACAAGCTAGTATGATCAGCAGTTTGTATATGGAGAATGTTGGCGCTCATTCTCAATATATCTCTAAGTCTAGAGAAGATCGGGGTTGGAATCGCTGGGTAGCTCATGATATGGCCCAGGACATCAATAATATCAGGATGCAGCAATTCGGCAGTACATGATGTTTGGATAGAATCTGAAATCAGGGAGAGAGAGAGAGTGAGGAACGACGCACAAGAGAGGCGCCACACATGGTGGGACTCGAACCCGGGCCGCGCGCCTTGAGGACAACAGCCTCTGATCATGGGGCGCGCAACCCAACCATCTGGCCAATAGCGCCCCTTTGCTACACAAGCATAAAGGGAGCGTGACATCACAATAACTGATTGGCTGAAGACTATGAAATGGCCCAAAAAGGTAAAAGATTAATGTTAAATACAGCTCTCCACTTCTTCTTTGGCCATTAACTGTCATTCATGTCAGCAACACCACAGTCATGAAGTAGTGCCATGGTGAGTCAGAGGGGCATTGTTTTTTAATTTTATTAAAATATTCATATTTGGCCACAGCGATTAAACAATCCTATCACATGGGATATGACGCCGATATTGCCTACATGTCATATCAATATTTTGTGCCACCCCTATGGCATATGTTTGCAGGTTTTATATGAGACCATTCATGCAAATTTAAAGTACTCTGCTTCTTATCATGCATCCACATCTGCCTAGTGACAGGGGATTTTATTTTTGTTCTAGAAGTGAGGAGTGTTTTCAAGGTTAGAATCAATTTGCAGCTGCCTCTGACACAAACTGTAGCAAATGATCTGTTATCTAAGTGGAGATTAGGTGTACTCAAAGCTCAAAGCTGAGGCCCAGCAATAGAAGGAAGGTGGACTAAATGACTAATCGACATTGGTATGATGACTCAAAAATGAAGGGGGGGTGGGGGTAGAATGAACCAAGCTTTCCTTCCTGTCATGATTTTTTTTTTTTTCACGTTAATAATCACTGCTACCAGGGCAACTTGTTTATGTTACTCTCTTTCTAAAGTCATGTTCTGGAGCCTTGAACATTTTCTAATTATCTGGAGTGAGGTGTTGTAAACTGTGCAGCCCTGGACACTCTCTGTGTTAAATCAATGACAGCAGCCCCATTCATAAACACAGTTTACCAGCAGGCTCTGGGACTTCCCACAAGGGGCTGCGAATCCCTGCCAGAATGACACAGCTACCGGGCCTACGAGCCGCAACACAGGAAAAACAACTCTCGACACGGACACTCATGTTCAGCATGTTTACTCTTGTTGCAAGGTCGGTCAGGAAAAACAGTGCACTTTTCTTGACCTATATCCATGTGTGCTAGGACTTGGCCACAGTTTGGCCCACTGGGATATGTTGATGAGAAACAGTTTAGACCTGGCTGGTTATTTCCTGTTCTTGTCCTGCAGCATGCAGGCTGACGCCAGGCTGTGGAATTTTTCTACCCCAGTTCAGAGAAACTGGTATAATGTGCAGGGAAGTCACTTTCATTCTGGAACCAATACAACAGCTCTTTCGAGCAAAGGTTTGCAATGGGTCATCTCATTGGTATGATTGGCACTTAGTATTGAGGCTTGTATTTGCTGTTTAGTGAGTTACACCACTCCTGTGTGGAGGAAGTCGATTGGGTAAACCTCTTCTTGCTAGATCGAGCTGGAAAGGAAGTCAAAGTTTTACTAAGATTTTAGATTCTATTGCATACCTCTGAAATGTCAGACAGGTCCATTCTGTGCTGCAGCCCTAAAATAGTGCCACAGTGTCTGGACAGACTACGGCAGTCTCATGTGGTAGGGAGAGATTGAAGTGTGATTTACTCACACATGCTCAGTCAAAAATAGACTTTGTGTTTCCTCTGCGTGGGATAAAGCAAGAGCACTCAAAGCCTTCCGATGGCCTGACCAATGAGACAACCTTTTGTTCACGTTAACACAATTAGGGCAGCAGCAGACATGATGGTGCAGCGGAAAAAAAAAACATCTGGCACGCCACATCTGCTTTAAAGCTGTTAGAGAGTATGTAAAGCATAATTAGATATCTTTAAGGTGTAAGCAGTTTGCTGTGCAGTAACCCTGTAGTCCAAACTGTGGGGTGGGACGTGACTCACAGTCAGCCAGTCAGACTGCACACATCCGCTTAAAAAACAACAACTGTCACGAACCCATTGGGAAATATGATGTCACTTCACACTGCCTGCTGCTTACTGCTTGCTTACCCTGTAGGGCCAACTAAGGCCAGATTCACATGGCACCCTATTGCTAAAAGGGCTACATTGCATTGAGCCAGGGCTGATTGGACACAATAGTCCTATGTCATCAAAATATAGGCAACACAAAGAAATACATGTACAGACACCAATAATTTAAGTGGTTAGCATTTAAAGGGACACAGGGAGGCATAAAATGCCAGTGCTAACTTTTAATTTAAGTGGACATTTTTTTCATTTAAACATTTATATAGTTGCTTGCAATTAAAATGAATCATATATCTAAATGCAAAGTTGCAGTTGTTAAAAAAAACTCCCCACTGCAGACATGCTTCATGTATAGTGTTGATCATAGCGTCTTAATAAAGCGAGTAGTTTGCTGATGCTGAATTTAGATTCATTAGAGTCTGTATCAGCTGCACCGGACAGTGAAGCGGTGCACTTCCACAGGAAAGGCAGCGATTCTTATAAATCCAGAGATGTTCCATGGAAAGTATTCAGGGTGGAATAACTGCATATACGTCATGTGAACAAGAATTTCTGGATTGTGCACGAGGGATCAAAGTGTCAATAGCTGCGTGGCGAGTCACCATCAGGAAGCTCCAGCCTCGGAGTGGGTCCATACAGAAAAGGATGACTCATGCACAGATAATCTTCTGCACCACCCTATCAGCTATGCTAGTAGGGAGAACACAGTCTCTAAAACATGCCTCAGCAATACTGTGCACAGCAGCACTGCAATGCACTATACTAAGGCCCACTCCACCCTTGACCACCCAAGGTACAACTCTGTAAAGTGGCCAGAAAAGGGGGGGGGGGGAGGAAAAACCTACATGGACACCTCAGGCCTGCATCTGTGCACACAATAATTACAGCACAGAACCTGTGTAGCAGCTATAGAGGCTGTGCTTGCAGCCAGTGAACTGTCAACAAAGAGAGAGGCTGCTCTAGGTATTGGTGCTGCAAGTCAAAACATGCCATGGTAGGCCAAAGGCTGTGATTGCCTGTGAGCAGCACCCCAGCCAATCTACACAGCCCTCTCAAAACAGTGTGTACTCCCGACCATGGTAACGCTAGTATGATTGTGTAACACAGCACAAGCGGTGAACTTGAAATGTAAATTGACATCATCACCATCCTCTGTGTGTGTGTGTGTGTGTGTGTGTGTGTGTGTGTGTGTGTGTGTGTGTGTGCGTATGTGAGTGTGTGACGCAGAGGAAGGACCTTGATTTTTCCAAGGTGTGTATTTTACTCAACACAGTGCAGTAATTATCACACAGCACAGACTCACTGGCAGGCGGAAGCCGACTATGTGATAGCGCCCTGGCTTCTTTGCATTGCCGCCTGTTTTAAAAAAAATAACACAATGTCCTAATTAGAAGCAGAATGAGGGGATAATAAATTAACTTTAAAAGACGAGGCGCTAAAAAAAAAAAAAGGGTCCCGACACAATTGATCAGTCATGAGTCAGGAGGCCGAGAAATACAAACACCTGTGGTCCCAGTGTGGGTTACTTTCCCCGAAAGCGAGAAACTGATCCCAGGGCGGTGATTTCCAGCGAAGGGGACAACTTGGTTCATAATTACAGCTTGGCAAAAGTCCTGTATTGTCGTGAGAGTGGTGTAAGCTAATGTTAACCACAACACGGGAACTTAAAAGAAGCGCTGCGACTAGCTGAAAAAATGAGCACAAACTTTAATTTAGCACACACTAAATATTTATCTGCTACAACACCTTTAGACATCGGGATGTCTAGAGACTTCTCATAATTATAGAAAGCAGGAAAGACATGCTGGCTAGCTTCTCTTTCCTCTTCTCATACATGCAGCTTTCCACGTTTCTCAAACATGGTTAGCTAAATAACTTCCCCGCAAACTGCAACTCAGTATTCAAAGTGTATGCACGGTGTTGTGAAAATCATAGTGAATAAAAAAACCACTTACCTCCTTTAGACAGAGACATTTCCCCTTTGCTTTGATGGGGGGGAAGGGAAGCACAAAGACTTTTGCCTTTTTCTACTCCCTCCCTCCCTGCATCAAGCCGTACACCCGCTCAGGATCGCTGGCTTGTGCAAAAAAAAAAAAAAACTAGCAACGATAAAAACGAAACGGTTCTTCTTCGTGCAATCTTTGCGCTTCACTCGGCGGCTAACGCGTTCAAAGATCGACCCGCAGATAAATGCACAACTTTAAAGAAAGTCGGCGCGGGTTGTACACTTCGAGTTAGTTTGCTAACAAAACCTGCACTTTTAGGGTGGCCAAAGTCTGACAGCTGAAGGCTCCAACGACGTAATGACGTATTTCCTGCAGCGCGCTAGGCAACATGGGAGGTGGAGTGTTTTATTGCGGGCCGTTCTTTTTTTCTTTTCAACAATTTCTCAACTCAAATCAAGTTTATTTGTATAGCACATTTAAAAACAGCTTCATCCGACCAAAGTGCTTTACAGGCAATGCGTAAAAGCAAGAAAAATTAGTCTATACATATGCACATATATACATATAAACACTTATACACGTACATATACATAATACACACACACAAATATATATATATATATATATATATATATATATATATATATATATGCACATACATATATACATGTAGCATACATACATATCACATACACATACCCTCATACCTACATGCACATGCATACATACAGATACACACCTAAGGTCAATATATGGGGTCTGTTTCAACTTGTTTTAAATGCCAGGGAAAAGAGGTGAGTTTTGAGTTTTGATTTGAATGAATTTAAGGAGTTGATTTGTCTGATGGAGGGAGGCAGTTGATTCTACAGACGGGGGCCAACAATTTCTGTAATAAAACATTTAAAACTGATGATTTTGACTATTGCGCGCGTATTTTGTAAATCAAACAAAGGCTACCAGAGGAAGACTGTTACAGTATTGTCTTTTATTGTTATTCTTGTGTTTTTCAGGATAAAAATCACATAAGCCTATGGTACTAGTGTCTTTGAGAGCAAAATGCATGTGTAAAGACAAAAAAAAATTTATTACCAAATGACTACTGCAGCAATAACTGTCTTGAAGGTCCACTACAAAGGAACATTGAAGGGATTGACCTTTATTGTACACATCTTGGTTTGTAAAGAAAAAACACATAAAACATGTTTTATGGACTAAAGTGTCATGAACTAAAAATATAGCTACTAAAATCTATAGTTGACTGGTGAATTCTGAAATTAATTATATTGATAACAATTAGGCCTACATTTGATTAAAAAAAAGAGCTCTACATTAACTATGCAAACCACAATAACCATGATAGACATTTACATATTCAAGGAACAAACTACTGGGCATGAAATACCTGAAAAAAATACAGTACATTGAAGTTTTTTTTTTTTCGTAAGCCAGAAATACTAAAAAACCCACCATCGTTATAGAGATTATCACTGCTGAACCGTTGAATTGTGAGTCCTTTATTGAACTAATCACCTCCTTGCTGAATAGTTTGAAGACAGTAAAATTCACAAACTATTCAACAATGGAGGTGCCGCAGACCTGGTGCATAAACATGTGCTGTGATATGAGCTTACTTTGGAATATGTGTGTGTGTGATTGTGCGAGTAGAATAGTGGATAACCGATGGTAAGGACACGCCGGAATCCTGCCATCACTTCCTGGCAACAAGGAGGCTGTGGTAAAGAGGTTTTATTATAATGTGCAGATAGAGGGAGCTGTCAATCAGGTACTCTGATGCACGGCGCTGCAGGTCGGCATCCAGCAGGAAATCGCCAGCCTCCTCTGTGCTCTGGTGGAAGTTGTAAACATGGCGAACCACCACCTTGCCTTGCTGTCGTGCCATCACAATCACCGTCTTCTGGAAACTCACACCGGCAAAGTCTGGACTAGACGTAGCTGGGGTCACAATAATGCGAGGTCGACCTCCATCGGTGCGTGTAGGTTGCATGGCACCCAGCTCGGTATAAGTTGACCTGGCACTGAGTGGGAGCCAGCGAGGGGAGAACAGGGCGTTCCAGGTTATCCTCTTGCTCGAGTCGTGGCCGCTGGGGCCAAGCTGGGTCTGGAAGCTGAAGCTGCGGTCGTCACGGGTTGGGCTATTGATGACCCAAGGGGAACCCCAGGAGGAGGAGAGGTAGTTACGGGGAGTGAAAATACTGCAGTTGACGTCAAAGTATTTGGCCAGTTGGATGGGTGAGGCGGAGTGAAACTGGAAAGCTAGATAGAGAAGATCTCTAATATACTCGTAGTGCTTTTGCATGAGGGCAGATTGCTTCTGAAGACGGAACAGGTGTTGAGGGGGGATCATACCGTATCGAACAGCTCTTAGGGCGGTTTCTACTGTTTTACTGATGGGCTGGTTTTGGTTAATCCAGGCCTCCATGGCCTCATAGAGCTCCAGCTCACTTTGCAGAATGAGGTCAGAGCGCTGGAGCAGAGAGAGGAGCAGGTCTTCACTGATGGAGCTCCATTCCCCGCTCTGGAGCACGGATGACAGGTTCCAGGACAGGTACTGCAGGCAGCTGTCTTGCAGGGTCACGTCCCCAATTTGTTGAGCATAGTTGTACCAGCCAATCACATGGCCGGTGGGGGAATCACTTGAAAGATGTTGGGTCATGTATTGGGTTAGACCCTGTTGCAAACTCCACACACGGTACTTGCTGGCCAGCTTGTGCAGAGAAATAGCCTGATCCAGCCGCACTGAGATATCCCCGCAGTACAGATACCTGCAGGAAGAAAAAGGTTGCTTTAGTAAAGCATGCTATATTTGAAACATGTGTTCTCTTCTCACATGTGAGTCACGGAATAAACCCACACCGTCCGTTTTTTTCAGCTGTAAGCCTAAAACAGCAGATGTAATTTTAGAATACTTCAAAAAGCTGGAGCTTCTCATTTCTGCAAAGGATGGAGGCAAATTGTTGGAGAAGATCTATAGGTGACACAAGTGGAAAATACAGTCGCATCTACAACTAGCTCCAGGGTTTTGTTAAACTTTATTGAGCCTGATGTGTGCACTCAGTCACCCTCACCTGACAAACTTGTCAAAGACGGCTGCACAGTCGGCTGTCTCCCTCAGCACAATATGACTGTTGTTGCGAGTGAGCAGCAGTTCCTCAAACACGTCACTCTGCAGTGTGAGAACCAGGCTGTGGGCCTGGATCACCTTCACTTCATCAGTGTTGATGGTCTGCACCCGGAGAGTGACATCACTGCTGTTCCCCATGGCCAGCAGGTTCTCCATGCGCTGCACCAAACTCATGGAGTGATTCAGCACCGTGGCCCCATTGTCCAGCCCGGCCTCCTGCTTCAGGGCAGCTGTGGAGAAAATAGAGCGAGAAGATGGAGTAGAAGCACTTATCGCATACACAATCAGAGCTTTTTCAGTGCAGAAGAAAATTTGCCTTGGAGCTGCAACTGCATTTATTTTTATTTTTTACTTTCATCACCATCATTTTCGTCAACTTGACTCTACTTTCTAGCAGGATTCATGTGCACAGATTTGACACAGGAAAAGAACTTGAAAAGACACTCTTTGACTTAACCACAACCAATAGAATTGTGTCAGGGAAAAATCTGACTTGCACATGCTTCAATTTTTTCTGGTTTCAATTATTCGAGAAAGAGAAGAACAGAACAGGTGGCTGACTCAGAAAAACCTCCCGTAACATGTTCTCAAAAAGGATCCTGAGTTTGCAGCTCAAATTGCAGATGGCTGCTTCTATGCACTCCCTCGTGCGCAAATACAAGTGGCACATACTGGAGGAGCACACATGAAAGACTCAGCGTGACAAGTTACAGTTTCCATTCTGCTCCACCACAGCCGTCAGCAGCCTTGTTGGCCTGTTACTGGGGGTTTAATGAGACACTGGGGGAGCACTCCTGGCTCCCTGGAAAGCTTCACAGGCTTCATATCTTAGCCACAACGAAGAAGCCCTCTCTTCAAAGTAACCTTTTTCCAATTAGTGAGCCAAGACCCTGAGCCAGCTCAGCGTAGTGGTGTGTGTGAATGGGGGGTTTGCATCTTGACAGATGATTCTGGCACCAGTGTAGCCAATTGGAAAGTCACCAAATTCATAATCACTGGAGAAACAGTTGTATCTGTTACATAATTTATCTATGTTTCCAAATCCTGTCAGAAAAAAAGAATCAGAGCGATTTAAATGAAAGTACACCAAAATAAACTAAAGAATAGAGAATGTTTCAGTCTCTTTAACGCCAGCTTAGAAGAGCTGAAAACATAAAATAAAACAGTTTATACACAGTCCCTAAATATAAGATCAGATGAGTCTGTGCTCACTAATAAAAATATTAATCTGACAGCAGAGGAATGTGGCCTTCAATAGCTTCGCCTTCAAATCAGGTATAGTCAGATCTTCTTTCAAGAGTAAGAAAAGCTTTCCCTCTGTGCTTCTTCTGTACAGTATCACTGAGCCGGCACAAAGCCAGGCAGCAAATGGACCTGCCTGTCTCTCCCTGCACCCAGCATGATGAGCACAGGATGAGTAGAATAGATAAATGATACACATCCTCTGCCCTGAGGCTGAGCACGAGCCACACATTCATGTTGTGCCCTACTATCCTCCGAAAATTCACTCTGAAGGCTGGAGTGAAATAAAACAACAACACAGCTTCTTCTACAATGTAGGGTTTTTAAAAATGATGCAAAAGTGATAAAAGTCTTTAAAAGCAAACAATTCAGAGTGCTGAAGACATGAGTGAACTTACCTCCTCTGACTGTCACAGAGTTGATCAAGAGGACCAGGGTGCCCATAAAGACCCAGGCAGGGATCCCTTGTTCCAAAGAGTGTACCATTTCTTGTGAGTTCTTTCCTGCCTCTCTTCCTCACTCTGTGCCACTCTTCTCCTGACTCTTCCTCTGGCTTCTGTGCGCCTTTGCCGCGTGCGAGCTGAAAGGGTGCGTTGCCCCCCTTGTGTGTGCCGCCCGGCTCCCTGTCCCGCACTCTTTATGTAGGACGCTGGCCTTTCCCTGGCGCATCTCGCAACCCCACGGGCTCCATTGATTGGTGGAATCTGGCAGGGGCGTTGCTATAGCGACAGCTTTGATTTTGAATTTCTCCCTTTTGGATGTTACATGGTATTGATTGGTGGCACAGGGCCAACAGAGGACTCAGCTTAATGGTTTTTGTTTCATTTTTTTTTTTTTTTAAGTTTAAGAGTCCGGGCGAGTTAGGCACTATTAACAATCAATAATAACACAATTTCATATTTTGATGGAACTCAGAAAGCTGCAAATATCTGCACTGCTAAATTTTGTTTATATCTAATTAATCAATTAATTACAGCAGGTTGCCACTCAGACTGAGAGTAATTGAGGTTCTTGTATGTGTGACCAACGGCAGTCAATCAAATTTTTATTCATTTTGTGGAACAGTTTTTTCAACTGAGAGCAATTATCTCTCTGATGGCACATTAATCGCACTAATGGGAGGATAATTTCTATGGTGCCTGATCTGCTCCTTAATTTAAGGGTAGCTCCGTTTATCAGAATCAGCTGCCAATCAGGATTTTGTTAAGTCACATTGCTGGCATCAAAATTACTTTTAAAAAAAAATATCTCTGTGCATGATTAAGTATAAATCCAACTATTTGTTTGTGTTCGAGTGTGTGTATGAAAAACATTCAGGCTGCATATGGATCTAATGGTCTGCCATAATAAGCATCATGCTGTTGAAATCAATATAAAATGCTGTAACTACTCAAATTGAGCTCAACAGCCCCATGGCATAATGGAAGCATACACTCTGCATTAACTGTGGTGCAGGAATTTGATTCAATGTAAAATGGCAGCAATGAAATACTCATACATAATGCTTGGGGCTGAAACAGACTTTGACAATGCCATTTATATGAGCCTATAGCATCGATCTGTCAGTCAGAGATGGGTCAGTCAATATGGAGATCTTTGTTAAATTTTCTAAAAAAGATGAACTCAGTACAGATTGATTTAAAAAAAATATATATGCATCTAACAAGGCCATTAGTCCAATCGAGATATTTATACTGAAACGCTGCAATGTGATAAAAGTGTTCAAAATAGCATCTGCCTCTACAGAGACACAAACAAGGACAGACATTATTTTAGATTTGGGTTGTGCTGGAGCCTCAGGCCTGCCAGGCTGCAGTAACAATGCAGGAGCAGAGACGCGCTGTGAGACCCCAACTTGAGCAACTTGCTATGAATAACCTGACAGGTTCCCTGAGGAGAGTGGTGCTGCTGAGGTGCCCTAATGACGGTGGCTGCAACAAACTGGACCAGACAACACAGTCAGGGCATCGGATCCTATACTGTATATGGTAGCATCTTCTATTTCTGTGACTTTAGGAGCTGCACACAAATGGGATTTATGGATGTGTATGCAATAAACCTGTATAGATGCAAATAATGGGAATTGCATAATAAAATATGTCATACATGCAATATTGGGCCTACATCTGTTTGTAGCTTTTGAAATCTGTTGTTCCGCTACATACTAAGCAGAATGTATCCAAAGCAACCCCTCCAAAAAGGAGAATGCCCTTCATGGAGGTGACATTGTTTTCTCCTTTGAGATCGGTCCCTATTAAGAATCTGCTATGCAAAGGGATGGATTGATGAGCTGCTGGGTTCGTGAGAGCACCCCTCGGGATGAGATCCATTGAGGGATCGATGCACCACAGGGGGGGCCCATCCCGCAGCATAAACAGTGCGTTTAATGCAGGCGGGATGCCAGAGTTAGCTTCGGCAAGGTGTCCTGGATGACCTTACTCCGGTGCATGAACTTTGAATCTGGTCGGCTTTTGATATAAATATGCGTTTTACATGTTGAATGCATCAAATATCTGATGAATTTCTGGAAAGAAAAAAAGGAGTAAATCAAGTAAAATAATCTTCAAACAAATATTTCAATTTTTTTTAATCTGTCTTTTTAAAATAACACTGCTTAAAATCAGCTGGATGTATTTCATTTTGTTGTGCCACTGCTTGTAAAATTGCAAATTTTGCAACAAAATGAGGAAGCAAGATGATAGGAACATTTTGGGAACTTTTCAACCACTCTAGACAAACAGATGGACAGAAAGAGAGAGACAGATCAAAGGGGATTGCTTCATACAGTATCTCTTAAAATACCGTATACCTCTGTTAAAATTCAACTTTAAACTTTCTTGTGCCCGAGGGGAAGTTTGGTTTGCAGCCAGTTGAAGACAATAAACAGAAAACACAGGTACATAAACTCAGACAATAGACACAACATACACCGTGAACAACATGAAATACATAAATACAAGAGTTCATCAGGTAACAGCAGGAAACTGAGAATATATAAAAGTGTCCATAAAACCAGAATCAAAACACATCATCAGTCATCAGGGTCATCATTAGAGTTCAGAAGCTTGATGGCCTGATCTATAAAATAATTATTCAACCTATAGGACTTGGCTTTTGGTAATGTGTATGTCCTGCTTTAGGGCAGAAGCTCAAACTCACCAAACCGAGGATGTCGAAGACTCTGTGAAATGTCTCGAGCCTTAGCTGCAGCTCTCTCTTTCTGAAGGTGAGAGACAGATCAGATTATTTAACCCCAATAATCTGGCAATTTTAATAATGTGTTGCAAACAGTTTTTTCTACTCCTAAATCAGGTGATAAAACCAAATGTGAGGACTGTTTGCTTCTGGAGAGTTAATTCTGCTCTGTTTCAGTTACAATATGTTCTAATCTGACAGAAAACTAAAATACATCAGAGTTTCTTAGCACTCTAATCTGCAAAAAACAACCAATGACATTTTATCTAACTGTTTATAGGCACTGTACAATATCATCATTTTCACGGTGTTTTAGCAAATTCCAGATGTGTGGGCTTATTGGAAAAACACATTGTTCAGTGTTACTAATGACAGTTTAGAAGCTCAAAATCAATGGATTTAATCAATATTGCTTTTAATCAAATGGTTGTTAAATGGCATGGTGACAACAGATCAATGACAGGCCCTGTATTGTTTTGCAATGTGATTTGATTATACAACACATGACTCCATCTCTCCTGTAATAACATTTTCCACCAGGTGGCTCTGCAAACTGGAGGCACAGTTCAGTTTCCCCTCTGGTGTTGTCTGCTCTGTAGAGAGGAAATAGACCCAAAGTATGAAAACCAAATCAGAGGATTGTTCTTTATGTGCAAATAATTGCATATAAATTGGGAGGAATGAATGGCAGAAATGAAAGAGGATTTTCTTTAAAATGCATTGCTACATGTTTACCCTTTTCCCCTATATTATTAAAAACAGGTCAGCACAAAAAGTAAGACATCATTCATCACCTTTTTAAGTCAAATCAAACAGTTGATCCAATAACTAAAACTGTTAATTATTAATCACCAATGTGCTTGGAATCTAAGTCTCTGTATGTCAAACAGGTCAGACCATGTCCAACGGCCTGCAAACACAAGTGAACATGTCTCACTCGAGAGGTGAGTGGGTTCTTTGTTTGGGTGTAAGCTGCCTGAAACAAATAAGCAGGCTGGTTGCTAATCTCGCAGAAAATGCAAAGCTGTGGAGAGGCTGGATAAAGACACCGAGCGGTTTGAGCTGGGTCCTTAGAGAAAGTTACACACACACACACACACACACACACACACACACACACACACACACACACACACACACACACACACACACACACACACACACACACACACACAAGATCATCACAACAACTGTGCATGACAGGAAAGCCATTATGAAGCTTCTGCCAGTGCGACCATTATAGCATGGTTCAGTAGCAGCAGTAAACGAGTGGGCAGGTGGAGGACTGTCCATGATTGTACCCGGAAAAACAGGCTGGATTAAAAAAAAAAAAAAAAAAACCCGCAAAGAAATAGATCGAACCAAGCTTCAAAATTCGATAAAAGCCTACTCGAGTGAAAATATATCGGGTAAGCTTTTTCTCCTGTCTTTCTGGGGTGGGTTATCCTCAGCGGGAGTAAATTCTCACCTGTTGGAGTGGTCACCAGTCCAGGTAAGAAGTCCCTGATGGAACCGTATTACTCTAATACCACTATAATGCTTTCATTGTTTTGCCTGTTTGTTTAAAGTTTTGCTTGAGTAACTATTTTAATAGTTTAAACAATATGTCTTTCTAAAATCAAATTGATAATTACGATAATACTAAAATATTCGATAAAATTCAAACTTTTCCATGAAAAAAATGAACGCCTGTTTTGCAGTTTTAGAAAAATGAATCCTTGTATTCTTTGGGGGGGATTTGTATTAACCTATGCAGGAAAACTTTGCAATGCCACTATGTGAAATTACTAGAATCAAAGCAATAGCCTATTCAAAGCAACCTTTCCTTTAAATATCAAGCTGTAGCCTAATATGAGCAGAGATGCAGATAATTTACAGTTTTGTGCTCACGTTTTAGGCCACCACTATCTGTTGTTTCCACCACTATCTTTGTTGTTTCAGCAACGTTTTAACCATAACAAAACAGATCAAATGGCTTCTGCAGGCAAACGTAGTATTTAGTGTGACCTTTGTTTGCACTTGGCGCATCTTCAACTCTTGGGCAGACTGTCTTAAAGTCTTCTTCAGTAATCACATCTTATACAAGGCTTCCTGAAGCACTTTCCAGAGTTCTTCTTTAGTTTTTAGGCTGTCTTGTATGTCTTTCTCTGGCCAGGTGATCCCATACTGCCTGTTTAATATTCAGGATTCTGCATAGGACATAACATTAGCAGTTTGCCCAAATCCACAATCAGAGACTTTCCAGACGTAATGGGATAATCAATTACAATAAAAGTGCTAAAACAAGATATCTGATGGGGGGCCTTCACTTGCCTGAAGCAGTGTAAAGTCTCCTGTTGAGTTTTATAATGAGGCCTCTGCAAATTAGATGCTGTAGCAAGGCTAGACTGAGCTGTGATTACATCACGACATCACATTGTAATTAAAGACAGACAGGACAATTTGTAGGATTCTTCAGAGGCTTTAATGGATTTATTTCAACTAGCAACAGCATAAGACAGTTAGACTCCAAGTGATATGTACAGTATGTGAATGATATATTTTTTTAATGCTTCCACACAACACAATAGGGTGTTACATGATTCGTTTCAAAGTGCATGCAAAGTCATTAGCTCTTGCATTGGCCTCCAACTACTGCTGTTGTTTTGCATATATATTTTAATAATCTGAGTATTTTTTTTTTTTTTTTAAAGGATTTCAAATTCATACCTGCATTGAAGCCATGGGATCGACCAGCCCTCCCAAAGGCTGTGGTTCCAGTATCAGCTCCATATTTTACAACCTGTGTGACCTCACTACAGTGTGGGGGGTCGTGGTGGAGGCCGTAGCCACTGCTGGTGTCGTCACCTCCTTCGTTCTCTTCATTGTCCTCATGGCCTGCTTACCATTCGTGACGGACAAGAAGAGAAAGGCTATGGTGGCCCTGCAGGCGGGCATTCTGGTCTTTACTCTGGGACTCTTTGGACTCACTTTTGCCTTCATCGTGGGTCGGTACTCCACCAGCTGTGCTGCTCGGAGGTTCCTCTTTGGAGTGCTGTTCTCAGGCTGTCTGTCCTGCCTGATGATGCACGCGTTGTGGCTGGCCCTGCTGCAGCGCGGCCGGGGTCCCAGATGCTGGATGTTCTGCCTGGGTGCGCTTGGTCTGTGGATGGTGGAGGTGATCATCAACACTGAGTGGCTCATCACCACTGTGGTCAGGAGCTCACCCGGAGATGAAGCCGCCCCTGACCTCTCTTGCAGCTTTGATAACCTGGACTTTGTGATGGCGCTGATCTACGTCATGGTGCTGCTGGTCGCTGCAGTAGTGATGTCTGTGCCCACGGTGACACACAAGCAGAAGCAGTGGCGGCGAGACGGAGCTTTCATTCTGGTGACGGGGCTCTTCACCTTGGTCATCTGGGTGACTTGGATTGTCATGTACCTCCATGGTAACCAAGTGGTCGGAAGTCCGAGCTGGGATGATCCCACTCTGGCTATAGCTTTGGTTTCAAATGCCTGGGTGTTCCTCTTCTTCTATAGCATCCCAGAAATAAGCTTACTGACCAAGGAGGACCCAGACCATCCGCTGGATGACGGAGATCATGTTTATCCCACCAGGAGCCTGGTGTATGACAACATCCTGAAGGAGCCGGAGACACGCCCGCAGAACATGTACATAGAAAATAAAGCCTTCTCTATGGATGAGCCTACAGGTAGCCTACACATTATTGTCTTGTATTAATATATGGTGCTTTAACACACATGCAAAACTGCTGAAAATGTTCCAAAATTTCCGGGTGCGCTGCATGTGTAAATGCAAAAGGCTACATTTTCCACTCTGACCTTACCTGGAATGGACATCCTCGTAACATATCTGTGAGAAGTCGGGGACAGCTGATGTATAAATCCTGCAGGAAATACTTCACAGCAGGCAGGTGGGGTGATGCAGTTTCATCAGGCGAGCCGCGAGTGACCAGTGTGATCGCCATGTATTTAGTTAAGCAGCGTCACACACTTTTCTACCTGCAAGTATGGTCTTTACCACTCATTCTTTGATACTGTGAATAAGTCCAATTATTGTTATAAGGGCCGAAACTTATTATAGCATCAAACTCCATTGCTTTGTCCACAATTCCTGCGTCATCCTTTTTGATGTGCATACACTAATCGGCAAGTTTTCAGGGCGGCTTCTCCTTACATTTTTCACATTTGAAAAAGAACAACAATTTTCTTTTGGAACAGCATTATGAAACAAGCACAACTGATCTACATGAAACAACGAGGCTCAACAAAGTAGCTAGTGGGAGGTTCCTTTAATCTGCACAGGAAAAAAAGGAAAGATTGAGAAATATTTGGCGGATTACTATTTCTATTTTTGACAAACTGGCCAAAAAGCAGCTTGTTTTTTCATATGAAATGGTAATCTGCAAATTGTTTAGTCTTCCTGAGCACAGGGCTTCTCACCAATACCCATGAAATCCATTAGAATAACAACTTACAAGCAGGTTAAATGTTTCCTGTAATGATTAGTCAGTAGGTTATAATCATCTTTGTTTGTATCCCCTCACAAACTGAAAACAGTGAAGCAGTGAAACATGATAATTACTGGTTTTTGACGATTCAATTGGAGGGTTATGTTGAATTCTGTCAGGTGCAATAACAAAGAAGCAGCAGGAAATGTGTCTGTGTTTATTCAGCCAGGTGACAGTGATCAGAGGATAGAACACAGAATACTCCAGAAATGAAAAGCAAATATTCACAAAGATATCAGCATCACAAATAATTGGACTAATTGAACCTATTCTTTGCCAAACTGCTTAATTTCTGTGAAGGGTAGCGTAATCGAACGTCAACTGAAACAGTATCTAGCTAATTAAGGCGTCAGAGAAGATGGGAGGGACTTGTGTATGAATACTATGAATTGGGCACTGACCAATCATAGCTCAAGATATTTAATTACCTGACGTCCGCCATGCAAACTTTGTCTGTGGGATGTTCCTGTCTGTAAAAAATAAGCAGACAACTTAATAGCTGCAACATACATTATCTTCTCTTTTGCACTGCCCCGCTCAGTTAAATGTAAGGTTGACCACATCTGCAGAACCCATGGGAATGTACTAATGGGATAAAAATAATAATGTGCCATTCAGAATCCATTAACCCCTTTTATTTTTTGAAAAAAAAGTCTGACATACTTTTTGAATGTTGTGTTCTTTGCCAAAGTTAGGAGGCAGATAGCCTCACACAAGCAGCAATCAACACACTTAGGTTGTCCAAACGTTCGATACCTTGGTACCGATGCCACGTATTTTAAATACAATCTCTGTTCCCTTAATGATTGACACTTTTTGAAAAAAACTAAAGCTTTAAAAAAAGGCTAAAACCCTTTGTTAATTTTTCAAACAAAAGCTGCAGGAAGTGAAAAAGAGAGAGAGCACTGTTTAGATTCTGCAAATACGTTGGCTACATTTTGGTATCGAAACATCTGTGCAATATAGACAGTGTGCAGGAGTTTAAAAATCAGAATCAGAAATACTTTATTAATCCCAGGGGGAAATTCAGTAATTCGGCTTGCCTGCATTTCTTTTCAAACTATAAACCAGAAATTAACCAGTATTTGGTGTCTCGGACTTTCACTTGCGTTGCCATGGTTTTAAAACAAGTGTCAATATCGTTTAAGTTTGAGATGCATAATGGACTGATGTCTAGGTATTCTTTTGGGGCGGCTGTGGATCAGTGGTCGTCTCAAAAACTGAAAGGTCAGGGGTTTGATCCCCAGCTCCCGAAGCCACAAGCCTGATGTGACCTTGGGCAAGACACTTAACCACAAATTGCTCCCGCTGATGCGTCAGTGGTGTATGATTGAGTGGATTAGCTAATACTGATGGATACTTTCCATAGCAGCCTCTGCCATCAGTGTGTGAATTTGTAGGTGTGACCTGCAGTGTTAAAAGTGCTTTGAGTAGTCAGAAGACTAGAAAAGCACTATACAAGCTCAAGTCCTCTTACCATTCAAACAACATGAGATGCATTAAATGTGTTTTCTCTGTGTCTAATTGCTGTTTTTTAGTCTAAAGTCTAAAGTGATGTAAGAAATTACAACCAACTTTTCCCATTTTTCAATCTGCCTTTCCTTCAACCAGTATCCATAAGGCCAGAGTCTCCGTACGGTTCTTATAACGGCCAGATGCGAAGTTGTGTGTACCAGCCCACTGAAATAGCACTAATGGCTAAGGGCTTAAGGGTGAGTAAGTGTTCACAGCATATTTAATCATATTAAACATCTCTTCCAACACATCTGCAACAATCACTTTGTGTGTTTCTACAGATAAACCAAGAAGCGATGCTCCCCCGAGCCAGAACCCCGTCTTTGAATCCGGGATGTGTGGGCTCCCTGCCTCGTTCACACGTGTCCCTACCTTCTTAAGGACTGTCACATGCAGAAAGTAGGTCTCAAAGAGAGTTACCAACACTTAAAGCCATGAGATTAAGCTCCACTTAGGGCTTTGTTACACCCATACTAACTAGATTCTCTGTTTGTATACATGTTAAGATTTTCCCTACCACGTGTTTCAAACATTACAAAGTCCGTTAGTTTAACAATCTGCTGTATCATAGAGTACTGGAGCTTTAAAATAACTACAGATCTACAGACATTTTTTTAAACAAAAGCTGCTGTTAGCAACAGAGAGACAGACAGCGCTGTCTAAATTGCACAATCATGCTGTCAATGTTTCATTGTGCAATATAGAAGGTGTGCAGGAGTATGTTTGCACTTTTTGGTCATTAAAAACAAGAAATTACCCAAAATGGAGTGCCTAGGATTTCTACTTTTGATGAAGTGGTATCAAAAACAGCTATTGATAGTTTCATTTTCACTAGTATCATATCTGCGTTTACATTTCTGTTGTCCTGACAACCGAAATATGTACAGCCTTCAATATTTTATTTTGAAATGTAGTGCCTCAGTTCCTCTATTTCATTTCTAACCTCTCCGACCACACCCCTTACCTCCTATTGAATGTTAATCCAGCTTTTGCACAAGTTCCTCAATGGGAGAAGACGAAATGTCAGGAGAAAACGCTACATGTATGGGTCTTCATGGTAAAGTAATTAGAGCCTGACCGATTAATCGGCCAGCTGATAATATCGGCCGCTTTTAGTGTATCAAGTGACTATCGGTTAATTTTACCGCAGCTGTTACTAGATTTATTTACTAGTCAAATAGCATTTCGTTTGAGTTTCATTGTCATAAACTAGCAGTTCTCTATCACCAGCAGTGTGTGCTATATGGATTACAACAAGCTTGTTGAGCCGTGATGCACGCACATGTGCAGTAACTTTCCAGTTAAGTGACCATCTTGTCTTCATTATACCTTCTGTAAACCTTCTGTATGTTGATGCTGGAGACACAATAGACAAGGATTAGGCACAGATAAAGGTTTATACATCTGACTTACATGTTAGTTTTTATCCAAAGGTGTTGTGTTCTCTGTGATCGTTTGTTTTTCTGCTGATTTTGTAATCTGTTTGCGGTTAAACACACTCATGTAATGAAGACGTACTCTGAGAGCCATACATCTTTGTAGTGTCTTGGACTTATAGAAATGTAATATCATGTAAAGTTGTCAAATTCTAACTTATTAAACCTGTAAAGGTTCCTAAAAAAACCTGGTGTGTCTGTTGGATCTTTGGGTTGTTGCAGACTTGCAGGTCAGGCAGATAATGGGGCGATGCAAGAGGAAGTGTCACAGGTATTACCATGAACTTCATGCTGCACAGTTATTTACATATGCTTGTTTGATCGTCTATAAAAGCTTATCACACTGCTGTGTATGGGCTTACTCTGCGAAGAAGGCATAATACTTTAAAAAGGAGGCACAGAGATGATTCCTGAATGCAGTTCAAATATTAGCAGTTATAAATTGCTTGTTTTTCAAAATAAAATACCATGTATTAGAAATATTAGTGCAGGTTTAAGCAAATTAGCGTGGACAACTGCTTTGAGTTCTTCCTTTCCTCTACAAGAGCAGGAACAATTATTAACAAATGATGTCGCACACACACACAGATTTTCAGAGCTTCCGAGTGAGTGGAGGCTGCCTAGCAGCAGGCTGAGTAGGCTCTCTCTCGATCACTCCCACCATCCTGTGCTGTCAGCAGCCAGGAAAGAAAAGTAGCTCACAAACTGGAAGTCACGCAGATTAGAAATATACAACAGATCATGTGTGTAGATTGTCAGGATTTTACTCCTCTTGGCTCCTTTTGTTGTTGTTGGATACAAAACATATGCAAAGTGCTGCGAAAAACAACCTGCAAGTGAACACAAAAGGACAAAAGTATCCAAATTTAAACAAAATGAGGCTTTCGGACACGAGATGATGTTTTCTGAGGATTTCCAACAACAACAACTCCCTTCCTACTTGGTAGCAACTGCCTTATTACTGGTATGATAAGCTCTGGATTAATGGTCAAAACTTTAGACTGTCCCAGAGGAGCTGGATAAGGTGCCCCCGCCCCCTCCTTTTAGGAATTCAAAATACATGAAACCTGGCAGCATGTTTGTTTACAGTGTAGAAGACATTCATTCCTGATCAATGACTTGAGCTCTGTTCAGATCTCTCTCTGCCAGGCAGCACCTTTAAAGCCCCTGGTGATATGAAGAGCTGTCTTGTGCACATGGACACAGGTGGTTACATGACCAGTGGTGGTTCAGCTCCACTCATGGGAGTCAGCACTACCAATCACAAGCAGCTGTCCCCACTTAACGCATTTCATTGTCACTGTGACAACCTTCTGTGGACACACACAGCTACACACAGCTACACACAGACACACACACACACACACACACACACACACACACACACACACACACACACACACACACACACACACACACACACACACACACACACACACACACACACACACACACACACACACACACACACACACACACACACACACACACACACACACACACACACACACACACACACACACACACACACACACACACGATGACAGAGATTCAGTATTTAAGGATTATAGCATATGAATGATGTTATCAATATATATATTTTTTGCTTTTAGATCTATTACGCCAAGAAAGATGCAGCTGTCAAACAAAACAGAACCTCTCTGTATTTGTACAGTTTGTCCCAGGAGCCAGTATTTACACAAAGGCCGCGTTCATGACGGTAAACCTTTTATGGATTACAAAAGTAATTAGCTGTGCCAGGCTCTTGTAAGTGCTCCGCATTTCAAAAAGTGCTGGTGTTATTTATTTATCCCAGGGCTCATGCTCACATGGAGAACAGAGACAAACAACATTACAAGTTATGTCATAGTTGTTTAAATGTTCTCCAATAACCATCGTCAAAAGTCCAGCCTTGACTTTGGTTAGCACAACTGAGAAAAAAAAAAACATCTGCAGATCTTGTAGAAGGCAAATAACATAATGACAGCTAATAATGGACCTGCTGTTCTGATCGTCTCCTCATCAGCTGCTGTTTAAAGGTATCTTTGAAGCCAGTAATCATTCAAACAAAGCTCAACAGAAAAGCTTCCAAAAAGACTCCTTGGTGAGATAGTTCACTTGAATGTATTCTTTATATTTCATTTACAGGTTATGCTCATTTTATACCCACAGCTGGGAATATGGTAAAAAGGCTGCATTCACACATTAGTATGACGACAGGTGCCACCAAAATGACATTTTTACTTTTTAAAAAGTCCCAAATGTTCCGCCCGCAAACACTTTGATACCAGCTTTCTGCAGGAGGACTGCCATCTAGTGGAACCACAGCAAACTATTTCTTGACAACTGCTCAGCTCCCACACTGCGGCCTGTGGATGCAAATGTTTGCTCCTTTGCTTGTTTTACATTGAGACACTCCAGCTCTAGAGTTTCTTAAACAACCAGTCAGTCAGCTGGTATTTATCTGAAGGTCCTTCTCAGTTTCTTTTTTACTTCACGGCTGACTGAAGCTCGGTGACTCTGATATTAAAACATCATTGAGGATTCTTGAGCTTTTTAAGACCGGCAGTCCTGGCCTCGTGCTGCAGCTGTTTCTGTTTCTTGAGATGACGGTAGGCCTCCACGGCTCGCTGCCTCTCCTCCTCCATGATTCTCTGACGGGCCATGGAGGGCTTGGCGGTGGAGGTTGGATTCTGGCCTAAGAGGGAGTTGAGAAGCAGCCCCTTTGATGCCTGTTGGATGATGGAGACAAGAGCTGAAAGTTAACATCATATTCGACCATGAGCGTCACAGACATAAAGAGATGCAGAGCAGCATTACCTGAGGTCTGACTGGAGCCTTCCTGGGTTTGGCGCTCAGAGTTGGTGGGGCCATTGAAACTTCCCCAAAAGGAACATCATCTGCAAAACACAAATCAAACATATGAGTATAAAACCACGTTTTGTGTGTTGTTCTTTGCTCTGTTTTATCCATGCATTAAGGAACACAGCTGGCACTCCAGCAACTACATGCTCAGCTTTCTTCACCGACTAGTAACTTATTTTAACTCTCCAGCCTTTTGGATCCGTGCAGGTAACACTCGTGGGTAAATCACAGCTCTTTAGCTCAGAAGGTCAGCTGAATTCTTTGCCTGAAATACAGTTTAAAAACCTTGCTGGAGTTAAGGAGGACAGTTCTGTTGGCTGTCAGGTTCTTATGAAATGCCCAATCAGAATATATCCTTTTTAAATCCACCTTAAATTAGGCTGCTACATGCCATAACTGACTTGCAAACGCTCCTTTATATCGATTACAGTGATCCTAAGAAAATGTTTTATTTACCGATAAACATCTCCTTTTCCATGATGGCCACTCTTCTGTCCAGCTTCTTCTGCTGTAGCCTCTGTATTTTCATTTTGTCGTACCTGTGCAAGAGAGTGAAGTTAGACCAAATGATATTATACGTTTCATCCAGGAGCTAGCTTTCTGAGTTTAACTGTCGTCTATTTACCGTTCAGGCATCATTTACATGTTGGGGTTTTCACTCCATGTGTATAATATAAACCAATGCACATGTTTTGTTTCTAGCCTAGACTGTAATTATAGATGATTACTTAGCTCAGTACATGAACTCAGAACAGATATTGTTTTCATATCCTGTGCTGTAGGGATGGTCAATCAATCGAGAAGATACTCAAGATTACTGTGCCACATGTTGGGCTCGATTTTTAACATAACTTTTTGGTGTATAAATACATATCTATCAGTTCTTTTAAAGGTTTTTAAGCCTTTATTTTAGATAGATGACAGTGGATAGAGTCAGACATTGGGGAGAGAGGCCCCACTGGTGTGGTGGTATCATGCAAGATTTCCATTCTTACAACCTGGGTTTGATTCCCGGGCAGCACTTGTCTTTTGGGGGCGGCACTTGCTCAGTCTGTAGAGACTTGTGTTGGTAACCAGAGGGTTGCCAGTTCAAATTGAGCACAAAAGTTGTTCTGGTAGCTGGAGAGGTGTCAGGTAACTTCCTGAGTAGTCCTCAGGTGTCCTTGAGCAAGGCACTAACAGCACTAACCCCAACAGCTCAGGCGCACCCTGCGTGGCAGTGTGTAGCTTGCCCCCCCTCTGACATCTCTCCACTAATGCATATCCACAGGTCCAGTTTGTGCATGTGTGAGAAGCATGTTTTTCAATAACAGAGTGTAGAATATCTCTACGGGATTAATAAAGTATGTAAAAAATATACTATAAAAAATTAAGTAATGACCTGTGGGGAAAGGAGCCAGAGGTCGGATTTGAACCCTGGCCGTCTGCTTTGAGGACTATAGCCTCCGTACATGGGACGCCTGTGATGCAGATGTTGTTAAATCAAAGAGTAATCATATTTAATAATCGGGATCTCAATATCAATAAAGATAAGTGTGATAAGGAATTGCTATAAATCGAGCAGCCCTAATGTGCCAGAAGAAAAACCTTTGTTGCACTTGTGTCAAACATTAGAAACAGCAGTCACAAACCAACAAATGGGACATTTCTTCCTAAGCACTGAACCCAAAGGAGGGCCCTCAGTAGTCGAGAGGGGTTTATCTGACTCAGTTGGCCTCACCCTTCTTTGTCTTCCCATATCAGCAAAAACACATAACATCAATTTGGGGGGGGGGGGTGCAAGAAAAGCTGCTTTGCTGATAACAAGAGTACTCACTCCTTCTTTTTGTCAGACTTTCCACTGTCTGCTGGCCTCTCTTGTTGGTCTGCCTCCAGCTCGGGCTTTCTGTCCACTTGGTTATTGGTGAGGAAGAGGACATGTTTTGTCTCATTCTCCATGCGCCTCAAGTAAGCTTTCTCACTTTCCTTCTTTCCCCTCTTGAAGTGTGGGACAGGTATATCTCCACCCTGGGAACCCTCTGCTTTACCTTTAGGGTAAATGGCTAATAAATAAACAAAAAAAGTTCCTGTTAAATGATATGACTGCCAACAAAGTGTGGCCGACAACAGCAATATTCCACTGTGTGCACTACAGTATGCACTACTGTGTGCACTACTGTATGCACTACTGTGTGCACTACTCACCGTGTTTGAACATGTTGCTCCTCTTCGGCCCCGCTTTCATTCTCTCCTTACTCTTCATTATCTCTCGAAGCTTAAACGGGATGTCTTTGAAATGGTCTTCTTCTTTGGCTGTGTTGGGTTTTCCATTTCGTTTGAGCTTCTTATCACTGAAGTTAAGAGAAGTGGAAAAAAAGGTGTAATCATTTTAATAAACACACGCATTTGAATACCATGTACAGCTAGCTAATGTAGCTAGCCAGCTGGCTATCCTTGCGTTACCCTGCATGATGTCCGGCTTTGACTGCTTTTGTCCCCGACTCGTCAGTTTTGTTCTTCTTATTCTTTCCCATGTTACTACAGTTCACTTCAACACATATTAAGTTATCTTAACAAAAACAACAACACATGGGATGCAGCGTGTGTACCCTTTCACCTACGAACTTCAACCTTAATGGATAGGAAGAGAAGTTGGAATAAGAGAGCTCTCACTCCATAGCTTTTTCCGGGTACCGGGTCAGTCTCCCCACTCATGACTCCTAACCTCTAACCCTCAAAACTCCTTAAGATAAGACAGAGCCTGGTCAAAAGCTGTGAAAGAAAATGGAAAACCCACGCGTGTTATATTACATTTAACAAATTCTGAGCTAGACCACACAAAGTAGCCTAGGTTGCAACGTGACGGCTTTTGTTGGCTTGCTGTTGTCCTGTATCGCTTCTGCTGTAGTTTTACCAAATTATTATTTTTTATTTTTTTATTTTAAGTTGAATGGTACAATGTCGAAAACCAATGTACGCGATCGTCTTTTTACAATAATACAGACATTGTATCAGGTGGAGATAAAAATCCCAGAGTCATACGCTGTTAAAACCGACGATCTTTGCTGTAAACGTCACTTTAATTGACTAATACGAGCAGTGGTGTTTCTATCTGAAACCACTAGATGGCGACGGTGTCAAACATTATTTAAAGTCTATTTGACAAACCAAAACTACAGAGTTAGAAGGGTTCTAACTCATTTTGATGGTATTTTGCTTAAAGTGTAATAAAAGTGCAGTTCATTTAAACATGCACACTTAAAGTGTTTAAGATCTTACAAAGTAGTATTGTTGTATTTGTATTTTTCAGTTAAAGGAATAAATTAGCTTTATGTGACTTATTTCCGTTAATGCACCAACACTATCCAGCTGTCAGCTCTGTGCAACATAGTAAGGCCTAATTGCTCCTATATGACAAGATTGTTCTTAACTGAAATGCATTCAAAGGTAGTAGAGTTTGTGTGCAAACATATTTTATGTGTTCGAATGAACAAGAAGATGGAGAGAAGCTGAAGTAAACAATCAGATGAATTATGTGTTTATTTGTATGGGGGGTGTTTGTGTGGGATTAAGATCGGGATTACCAGTGAGACATAATATAACCCAATTGTAGAGACTGCTGATGGAATGTAAATGCTTTGATCATGCTATTTTCTTGGCCTGCAGATATGGAATTATAACACAGTTGGTGGAGAGATACTGAGGATCATGGGACATATTCTGCATAAAACCCAAGGGGAAAAATGCTTCTGTACATAAGCAAATTATTGTTGATGCACAGCCTGGCAGATGTTTTTGTTGTTCCAAATCAATTGCAATTGTGTCCACCTCTCATGCATCTGCACTTCTTAGTACAGGGCCAAAACTGCATGTCAGCCATTCCCCCAATGAGTCTACCATTCCATATGTGATATACCGTGTGAGTACAAGTGATGAAGGTTGAGGAGTTTAATGATTGAAAGCGTCATAATCTTCTCAGGGTGTCAGGTGTATAAGAGAGCTTCGAAAAACACAACTCATCATGTCACAGATCTCTACAACAAGACCGACATTGACAACGCAGAAACAAAGGAGGTGAGTTAAGACAGCAACTTAGATGATGCTTTTTAGCTGCAGGCTGATTTCAATGCTTTAATTGTATTCATATTTTGTAGTAAAATATTTGCAACATTGCAAAGCAATTTCATATTGTATTTTGGCATGTTTCTATACTCTTTACTGCAAACGTAGTTGGTTTTTGTTGTGCTTTGCTTAGGGGATGTTTTTGTTTTCATTTTAGATTTTAAAAACCAGGTTAGATAAGATAAGATAAACTGTCATGTATCCCACAACGGGGCAATTTACAGTATTTTAGCAACCATTAGCAAGGGTAGACATTAAAAGAGAACACACAGTGCACAATTCAAATGGTTGAAGAGCCTTGACAGAGTTGCAGTTTATGCACATATAGTTTGAGCATTTGAGGGAATACAGAAAAAGTTTATCGTGCTCACACTGCCCTCAGAAGTTGAACATGTCAATGCACCATGTGAGTTCCATATATTATTTCACATCAGTATCAGAGCACATTATAGTAATATGGTAGATATTTCAATTTGATAATATTGAATGAGAACTTGGAGTGAGTATTGTGTTATTGAATTATTGTATATGATACTAGCTAAAATGTTTAAAAAGGCCTTCATTGCATGTTACTCAGAAGAGACACAATCCGTACTTTATTGGGCAAACCTACAGTCCAGTGTAATGCAAACAAAAATTGGAAATACAGGTCAATACAATAATACAGTGCGGTATTACTACCCCCTTTAACTTTCTCAATCTCAGTGATGAACATCTTTGAATTTACACATTTATCATGCGGTTGAATGTAACACAACACAAATTATTCACATAAATTATTCACACAAATTCACTAAAATCTGTCTGTATGCACTTTCTTTAAAATGCAATCACTGGCTACATCATTGTTATTTAATTACACCTTGGTAATGTTTTGCACATTTTCCTTACAATAATTATTATACAGTTTTGAAAGGTTGCAAAAGTCTTTTCAGTGGATGACAGTCTGAGTGTCTCATGAGGTACTGTCAGGTCGGGAGCTCAAGCCAATTCAGCATGTCCTCTCAGTAATCTGATTATGAGAGTGCTGTGAAGGCATTATGGAGGGATTAGAAGAGCTTCAATTGTCCCTACACAAGTCTGTTTCTGCAGATAATACGTTGTTTTTTGTTATCATCACTACACCTGTGTGTTTGTCTTGATTAAATGCATTTAAATTTGGCGAATCTACACAAAATAGCATAGTGTTTTCATATTGACTGTCCCATTGCAGCAAAAAAAAAATTATGAATTTGGATGTGGCCAAACTTGAAGTAAAAACTGGCAGCAAAGCCTCCCTCAGAGTCATCAGCCCAGCATCCGGCCCGCCCAAGTTCAAACAGCGGAGCAACCGCCAGTTTAAGAGCAAACCTCCCAAGAGGGGTGTCATTGGGTAAGCATGTCTTTGTTTGAATCTAGGAAGTTTGTCTTTTTTGAAAAAATCTACCTATAAATTCCTTTTTTTCCCCATTCAGATTTGGAGAGGACATCCCAGGAATGGAAGGGCTTGGCATAGGTAAGAGATGCCAAGCCACAGTTAGAACACTGCAGATGAACAAATTGGACACAAATCACACTTCTGTTCTTGTTTGTTACTCACGACTTCTCCTTTCCTGTCCAGACATCACTGTAATCTGCCCATGGGAAGCATACAGCCATCTAGAGTTACATGAACTAGCTCAGTATGGTATCATCTGACGGTCTCAGCTGAGAAGTTATTCCTGTAGGAGAACTGACGGAGCAGTCAATCAGCAACCTGGATCATCAATACTGGATTTTAAAAAATCAGTAAAACTCAAACTAAAGAACAATATAGCTGGCCAAAGATGTCCATACAGATGCTGTGCTTTGCCTAAGTCGTTTTATGAATCATTTTTTTTAAATATAGAATGCTCAAGGAGAGCCCTTTTCTGTGTCCACAACCCACTGATGTGAAATTGTTCCTTCATCAAAGCCTGAGGTTGACGTTGGAGTGGTTACTGAATTTTTTTAACTGTACTTAAGAAAAAGTATATTTTGCACAAATTGAAAGCGTCATGTTTAATCAATCACTGAATAAAACCTGTACTTTTTAAAAAACAACTTCAAACTTGGTGTGTTTTTAATCATGCTAGTATGTTGGAAACATTACATGATCACAAATAAATAGCTTAATTTTTCCCTTTTTTAGAAAAGAGTAGCGTAAAACAGATTATTCATAATGTAAATCATAGTCAATCAAACCTCTGTTCCCTAGAACTCATGCTACATCTGACACTAGACACTTTGCTAATACTTGGGGAATAGTTTGACTTTTTCAATATGTCTGCTAACTTGCCAAAAGTCAGCTCTCGGAAATGTATACATTTTAAGCTGCAGGCTAGCAAGCTAGCTAACGAGCAACCAGTTAGCTCGCTATGGTTTAATATTAAGATAGTGAGCAACCAGTCAGCTAGAGTTAACACAATGTTTTAAAAAGGCCAGACTCGGTTTGAAAGCCAACAAAGCTCACTGATTAGCATTTAGCTTAATATCTTTTTGTAAAATGATGCTGGTTTCATAGGGTTTAATCATTTTCTGTGATTCAAGGGACTATTACTTTGCTCATTGGGGGCAGAAAACAAGGTTTGTAGTGTTAGGTAGTGTTAAAAGGTTAGCTTACATACAAAGCAGCTTTTTGGGAATGTTATTTGTTATATTATGTTACCGCATTTGCTAAGATGTAAAGGTACGACATATTTTCCCAAAGATGCCGGTTTTCTCAACACAATATGGCACATATAATATTTTCAATATTAGCCTACTAAAAGTGAAGATTTGTTTATGATTATAGCATGTTTCTCACAGGTAACCAACAAGATGGAAATGTAAATATCAGTGTGCATTCATTAAATAGGAGTACACATAGTCATCACCCCATGTTAGCTGTAAAGTTTATGCCAGTAGATGCTGTCTAATAGTCGGGTGGTGATAAACAGAGTCATAATTTGGATCCCCAGTAAGGCGATTGCGATGGTTCCTATCAGACCCATGTGCAGCTCGATCCAGCGAGAGATCCCCCCTAGACAGCCGCCCAGGAAGATCAAACTCTGGGCAGAAAACTCATCCAGCATCTGGGCACCTACACCACACTGAGAGTTCCACACAGTGCCGTTCTCCAAAGGGTCAACGCAACATGTCGCAGGGACGCCACAGGCCAGAACTCCTGGAGCTGAGCAGTTGTAATATCTGAGGAAAGAAAAAGAAAAGCTGCAGAGTTACTTTTTCAAGACATTCTAACAACTGTATTTTTTAGATACATCCAGGTAACCCTCCACTTACAAGTTGATCTCCCAGTCACGATAGTTGTCCGCCCCACAGCACTGCAGATTTGTCTGAATCTCGTCCATGATGAACCTCAGATCCAGATCATCCTGGTAGCGTACCATTGCTGTTATCATCCCTGACTGCAGATAGCCTCCAATCTGATCCTGTAGACTGTAGGCCACAATGGTGGCCAGCACTTGAAGTGTGATGAGCACGAGCACAGCGGCAGAGAACAGCCTCAGTAAGGTGCAGTTCTCTCGTATGGCACCAACACAGCCTGACAGACAGAGCAAAGTCAGCAGAAGGCCCATTCCTACAATGATCAGCATCGGATCGCTTCCAATACTGCCGATCTTCTCCTGGGCAAACGACTCTTTGCTGACGAGGCCCCACATCCCCACACCAAGAACCATCAGGCCCACAACGGTGAACAGCAGATTGCATAGGAACAGGGCATATTTTAGGAAATAGTCAATGAAAGTATAACCATAGCGGGGTCGGACAAAACCAGGTCTGGTCTGGTCCTGTCCACAGTTTGGCCCTGCTTCATAGCAGTCTGTGGTGAAATGGTCTGCTGAATCCTCTATGTCAGAGCCTGCCTTTGGACACACAGGAATGCAACTTCAAATCATAGCTTTTAGAACCAATGCAACTTCAAACTTTTAAATACAAAGAGTGGTACTCGATTTTTAAACAAGGAATGAAAGCAACAAAACAGAAGGTCAAATGTTACCCCTTACCTTTGGTATGAGAGGACTGGATTCATCCAGTGTCGTGTCCTTCTTTGACCATGGCAAAGAAATCCTCTTCATCCACAAATATTTTTTCATGTCGTCAACTTCTGGGAGATGATTCTCCCTTTGCTCTTAACCGCTCAGAATGATACAAATTAAAGTGGAACATAAGAGGAACATTCACTACAGGGAGAACAGAGGAGCATGTGAGCTGAGGTGGAGATACAATGCAGTGTTTAGCCTGTGGCTGCTGGGAGCCGTGGGATTTCTTCATCATGTGAGAGTCACAGTGAGGAGATTACGTTTATCAGAGCATGTAAGAGAGGCTCAGATACACCAGAGTGGGGCTCTGTCTGGAACAAGAAAGTTTGGATGTGAGGTTAACTCGAATAAACCACTTGAATGTCAACGTATGTAACCATTTGTATACCTTTGAATAAAGAAATTGGATAGTTAAAGAGGAATGTGATGCCTGACTGATTGTATCTGAATCAAATCAAATATTGAAACAACATAAGGGTGAAAGAAAAGATTCATTCGGTTCACATGCTTTTATTTAAGCTTGTTGAGTTTGTTTTAGGTTACCACATTAGGTGTGAGGATACATCTTTAAGATCAAGACGATCAACAGCAAAGCAGAGAAAAAGCCATGTTATCTGGGGGGCTGTGTTAAGGCATAGCAGTGCAATGAGGTGAAGTCGGCATGTTAACATTATTCTTACATTGTGTGCCCACAACAGTGTGGAAATAGAATTCAGACGTCATTACGCCTTTGCATTTACACATTGCAACGGTGTGATAATGGTGCCCCAGCATGTTTTTTGACATTTTGTTACATCATTGTGCAAGCATGACATGTACACAAACAGGAGGAGCTCCACACACACAATCTCATATACTCACACGCACGCACGCACGCACGCACACACGCACGCACGCACAGTATGTACTTCTGCAGTACTGTATGTTCAGTCCAAGTCAACATGTTTACCTTGATGGATCCTGTAGGTCTGTTCTGGTCAGTTCTGACTCTATTGATCATAATTTCTCGTTCCAGACTTTTGTAGGAAAATTGTTAGATGGTAGATAAAGTATGAAAACTGATGACAGCTTCCTCTAAGTCCTCTGTCTCGTATAAACACTGACTGTAATATGAGTCAGTGAGAATTCTCATGGTGCGCCTTCTGTTTGGTATCAGTGCTTGAACACAAGAGCAGATATATTTCAGTTTAACCATCCCATTTAAATTGCTCTGATAAAGCCATTATGAGGTGATGAAGAGCAGGGAGTCAATAACAAGCAACATGTGAGGGAACAAATGTGAGTTAAGTAACAGACACAGAGAGAGAGAGAGAGAGAGAGAGAGAGAGAGAGAGAGAGAGAGAGGCCTGGTTATCCCACTCTTTGGCTCCTCTCATGTGCTGCTGTCATTTTTTCCTCTGGCTGTGCTGCATCTGTGCTCGATGGAGGAAGTCAGTTCACTTGCTGGCGGTGGACTTCAGATGACGCTATATAAGGTCTAAATAGTGCTGCCATACATCTGTTTCAATTATGTTCATTTACAGTCAACAAGAGTGTAATTAAGTGACCTTTTTGTTGATTTACATAATCATTTTCATCAGTGTTAGCCTCCTGACATGACAGATTGAAGATTGTGTTGTTGTATGGACTCATCAGATACTTACTGCTACATACTAAGCTTCAGATGATGAAACAATTAGATACATAAGCAGTAATATTTCACCTGAATATTTCTATGTTATGATCCTTTATGCCTCTTATTAACGTAATTTAGGACCCTATGGACATGCACTAATGGAGAGATATCAGAGTGAGGGGCTGCACATGAACGGGGTGCCATTGCTCATCGGCACCTCTGCAATGTTCAGGAAGTGACCTGGCACCGCTCCAGCTATCAGACCAACTTTTGGTCCGCACTGGGACTTGAACCAGTGACCCTCCTGTTCCCAACACAAGTCCCTACAGACTGTGCCACTGCAGCCCCCCAAGTTGTTTCAAAGGAAAATATAGTAATCCACTATTGAGGAGTTTAAAGCTCCTGTTAGGAACTTTCAATTTCTGCATGTCAATTTTGACGCCTCCTTGTGGGCAAAGCAGTGCATCACATCTCTGCTGCTCTATGTCCTGTATGTCGTAAAAATTGTGAATTCTGATAAAAACAATCTCAACCTGCTTCCTTTCAATGGTCAAACTTATCAATCGTTGTTGTGGAAAATATATAGAACGTTTTAACACTCCACCCTGGAGCATTAAGCGTTAAAATGCAAAACAAGTGACAAGACTAAGATGCACTTAATAGATAGAATACCAATAATAAATACATTTAGCCAGCTTGGGCATCAAATGCCAATGATGTTTCCAATGATGAATTCTTTTACATATAGTCCTCTTTCCTGCCTGTTGATTTTTTTCAGTTTGAACTCAGTTTACTTTGAAAAGGGATGACTTGAACTTCAGTTTTTCCACACTGATGTGGTTTTTATTATAATTTTTATACAGCACATGAGAAACCTAACCTCTCTCTGCTACTGCACATTTCCGTATGTCATTGATTGTATATGACGAAATCATTTTACTCAAAGTCTAACTTTAAATCTCTGGAACTGAGGTTAGAATCATGCATGCTTTCCAAAGATACTTTACTGACTGGTTGCAGATGACTGAATTACCAGCTGAGTGTCAGGTTTTCAACAAATCTCACACATCACACTGTTTCCTTGACTACACTTTTCTTGCTACCTTAGATAATTTACTTCCTACTTTGTGAACGGAATCCAACTCACTCTGTCTTGCTTGTCAGCGCTGATGATATATGGTTACTGATTGCATAATGTACATCCCCACTTACACATGCAATGCAGTGTGTTGTCTTTGGGTTTAAACTTGGTGCAGATGGCATGGACCATAGCCTGGACAGATTCGTTTTCTGCTGTGATAAAAAAGCTGGAGCCAGATTCCAGTACTGTCGGCAGACATCAGATCAGGAGAATTGGTGATCTTTCAAATGGAAGACAACATCTTTATCTGGGATAGATCAGACCTGGAATTTCCAGTGACAAAAGCCATTTCATTTTCAGAGCTGAAAAGGAAAAATGCTTCTTTTGCCTGGTATTTAGCTTTGAGGGAAAAAGTAATTTGGTAAAATATATATATTTTCCAGCTGAATTCGCCTGCCCAAAACTGTCTAGATAATGCATTGAGGAAATCTGTTTAAGCATTGAACCTCAAGAAAACTAGTTTCTTCATCGTCCATCAGCACTGATATGATAAATCATATTAATTATAAATTATCTACACTGGTGGATCAAAGGTGGATTAAAGTCGAAGCTATGGGGAATAGTAGAACAAATCAGACAGCAACATCTTATTTGAGTTAGGGATTTCAGCAGTTTATGGGATGCCAGGGATTCTCTTGGGGATGTATATTTTTCCCATCACCATTTAACAGCTGTTGTTAATACAAATATTAGGAAAATTGGTTAATCGCTAAAAGTAAATAATGTGTGATTTAATCCCCTCTATTTTGTAGCTTCATCAGGCTGCTGTGTCTTTCCAAGTGTTGATCACCTCTGCCAGTTAAAGGGACCATTTCTGGATGGATGGGGTTGCAGCCCAGATGCTGAGCAGATTGTATTACAGTAGGCAGTAAGAATGTTACGCTGCAGCCATACGGCTACATCAAACATCTCCTCTGGATTACGGCCCATGGAGTGTGCAGTCCACTTACACATCTCACAGCAGCTAAAAAACATGTGGGAGATAGATGGGGCTTTAGATAGAGGATTATCAGGACCTCCCATTCAGGTTGTGTGGGTTATTTATTGTTGTAGAAGATGCAACAGTCTGGAAGACATATCTGAGAAGACACAGACCTGGAGAACGTGTGTGTATGTGCGTGTGTTCGAGGAACTTTGACTCATTTTGTGCCACGTTATGTGACCCTGCAGGCAGCAAGTGTGCACAGATGCTGTGAAGGAGGAGAGTGTGACACAGGCCTGCATCACTGAGATGGGTGGGAGCAGGTGGGGGAGAAAAAAAAAGGAGGCAGTTATAAGAGCAGTGTGTTTTCTTAGTGTGTGACTGTTGACCGATTGTACCGCAGAGCGTGTCCTGCTGCTGTAACACCGAAAGAACTACTCCACTTACAGGTACAGTAAAGGAAAAAACATGATCAAGGATAGTTTTGTTTGAAGGTAGAAAAAAAGAAGACCCCATTTAACTACTAAAGGAAGGAAAAATAACTATTTTTTTTCTATAACATTAAGACTAAATCATGTCTCGGTCACAGGGTGCAAGAGTCTACTTTCATGTAAAAGCTTAATACTTTTGTTGACCTTGTAATACAGAAATTTGTCTGACTTCACTAATCTATTAATGTGTCTCTCAGCACCAGCATATTCTATTTCTGTTTTGTTTTTTTGTTTTTTTAAGGAGAGGGAGATGAGAATGGAGATTTTTCTGGTTCTGCTCTCCATGATTCTCACATGTGGAGCTCAGAAATGGAAACAGGAAACATCACGTTGGGACCCTAAAGGTCAGGAATGATATGTCGTCATGCTTGACTTCCTGCAATCTGTCAATGGTTATCCTGTTCAAGGGATGAGCAACTTTGGTTAACAAAGAGGGCCAAATGAATGTTATTCTCAGTGCCAACTTGTTACCAACTTTAAACCCCTCATTTAGATAATTAGGATAACTTATAATTCAACAAAATGAACAAATATCAGATTTCTTGAATATGTTTAAACTCAAATTTAAATAGGAAGTAAGACTTAATTGAATGAGCTAAACGAAGAATTAAAGCCAATCTAAGCTCCTTTTAATCAAATGAACAGGATATATATGGGTAATTTATTTACATATATCTTTATTTCAAATGCATTTAGTACTGCTTCATAAAAGAGCTATACAGAAACAATTACAGTCAATTATGGAAATGATGGAAATACCTGAAATATTTCCATCTTTCATGTACTAATGCATTTGGTCTTTGAGCATGGGGTTATTTGGAAACTAATGTAGAAATACTTAAAGGTGACATATTATTATCATTTTCAACCAGTGTAAATAAGACTAAGGGTTCCCCAAAACATGTCTGTGAAGTTTCTTGTCCTAAATCCACTCTGATCCTGTATTTGATAATGTCTATAAACCCCTCTATTTCAGTCCTGCTCAGAACAGGCTGTTTCTGTGTCTGTACCTTTAAATACAAAAGAGTTGTCTGACCACGCCCCCTCTCTGGAAGGGCTTGGGTGGCTCTGGCTTTCTTGCGCCATGCTCAGTTTTTTACAGTGAGAAGGCAGACTCAGAGGGCAGAACAAACACCTAGCTGTGGGAGTGTCACTCACAATGGGGGAGGGGTTATTGCCCTTAGTGATGTCACAAAGGGAAAATCTCCAAATGAGGACACATTTTCTGAAAATTGGAGCAGGCAAAAGAAAGAGAGGATGGACTTTTCACATAATTAGGGGGGTTTGAAGAAAGATAGGGACACATAATGTTAGAAAAACAAGTGTATTTTGAATAATGTGTGACCTATAATGGCAGATTCTATTCACATTTTCTTCATGTTTACAACAATTTGACTGACTCACTGGCCACATTGAGATAGAACTGGGGGTCACATGTGTCACTAGTTGCCGACCACAGTCCTATACGTTTCATTTAAAAAACCTAAATTGTACAATTTAAGGTAAATACTGTATTGTTCTCATGCAATTATCTAATACCAGCAGAAAACAACAACGGCAAGACTTGTTCTAACATGACCCAGGTCCTGGACAACTGGAAATTCGCCATTATAACCCAAGTGAAAGACCTGCTGATTAATGACCACGCATCTGTTCTCCCTGAATACAACAGGTGTGTGTTACTCTCGTCTCTGATGGTTATGAAAGCTACAACAAGAAGGGGATAAAAAGAAAGTTAACATGTTGTGCAACAGACGAGCGAAAAGTCTGTGAATAACAACAGTCGGTGATGTCAGTGAACATTTTATTGCTATCCTCACACTCATGGGAAATGAGGGATTATGTAACCTCTGCTGCTCTGCACATGACCAGTGACCTGTCAGAGCCAGTAATGTGATCAGTGATTGCACTGGTCCGCGCAATACCGACTCTGCTTTGTGAATGACCTCACTGAGGAGACAGAGCCAGTAAATTACGGGAAAATGTTTCAGCCTTGTGTTCTGATGAGTGATTTTGGCAAATATAACTCCAAGTCATTGAACCTATCTTTAAAAAAAAGAAAAAAAAAACTCTGTGCCAAATGTTTACGTGAGTAAATATTTCACTTGTTCACTCGTAGGTTTCTTTTCTGAGATTTTGGACAAAAATGTGCTCTTTATAAACTTTCATCTTCTCTTAAGGGACTACCATGCTTTATGTCTGTTGTCCTGATGTTTCCTGCAGATGATGGGGCTGTTCCTCCTTAACAGCATGGCGTGACTTTCAAGTTGCCAACTTGACTTGGCTCTCCTTTTCTTCTGCCAGTAAACAATGTTCCAATTTAATGTGAGCTTATGGAAAATCAAAGTACCAAAGCTCTTTGACAGGTCATGCAGTCATTTAAAATAATTTAGTCATTTGTACTTTCCTTCATATCTCTACTTGTGTGAAGGATCCAGCCCCTGTCAGATGCTCTGGGAGATCTCTACAAGCACTTCAACGCTCTAAAAGATGAGCTGGCGAGGCTCTCTGCAAAGTTTGACAGCGTGGAGGGTTTTGTGGACGATCTAAGGAGCGACAGATTCACTCTGCCTCGGCGGCCGGTGCAGAGGATTCCCCCCAGCGTTGGACTCAGGGCTCCACTGCGAGCACAGATGAGAGCTCCTGTACGGGGGATTATTAAGGGGCCGAGGAGGAGAGGGCCACAGACACCTTAGTCTTCTTGTCCAGAAATGCTGATGTATCAAAAAATGAGATGATATGATTGTATATTTTACAGAAAATGTTGGCTTATATTATTTGTACTATATGCATGGTGTATGAATATGATGGTTTTAAAGCTTTCAAATATTTATCTTTTTATACAAAGTTAATTTTAGCCACAAGGTGGCAGCATTTATCAAACCACCTGAATCTTCATCCTGCTGTTGTGAGTTGTGAGAAATATAAAGGAACATAATGGTTATAAAGCTGGTCTAGAACTCTGCTTTATTACAATATATACATTTATCACACTATGACAGGTGTTTTGGGGGAGTTTCCCCAACTTCATTCTGAACAGATTAATGAGCAAATCTTATGAATAAGCATATGGTGCACTATAATGAACTACACCTCTCACTGTTATTTAAGGCAAAGCACCACATGTGGGCAACCAGGGAATCATTTGATCTTAAGAGTGTAAAGAATGTTAAAATCACAGTCCAACATGTGAACAGGACAACACGGGAGTCAAACCAGCAATGCTGGAAAACAAAATCCAATTTATCAATAATTCTATTCTCATAGTTCTACTTATTTATAGATTCAATTTCAAAATTGATTAAGGAAAATAAAATATTTAATTAAACCCTGTTTCTGCCATTTCCCTTTTCTTGTTCCAGCCAGTCTGTCACATATGAAAAACAAGGAACTGGAACCCAATTGAAGAAAACCAAAACAATATTTATGAACAAAAGATCAAACGCCCAAAACCAAAAACGTACTTTCTTAACAAAAAAATCCAAATGAAGAAAATAAGCCACGTAGACATCTGGCAAACTGACAAGGGGAAAATCTGACATTGAACTGACAACAAGAAGGAAGGAACACTGAGACTAAATACACAGGTAATCAAACACAGGTGAGACAAAGCACACAGGTGAAGACAATGAGGGCAATCAGCACTGGAGGGAAACACACACAGAGGCAGGAAGAAATACAAGACAAGAACCACTGGGGACAAGAACTACAAAATAAAACTGATTGGTTGATTAAATGTAAGTGGGTAGTGGGTAGTAACAATGCCATGGCATTAAAACCAACCTTTTTACACACTGTTAAAACAAAGATTTATACACACACATTGAAGACAAAAGTAAAGAGACTCTGCATATTAAAGAAAAAGGAATAAAACTGTCACTCTCAGTTTATTATAAATTAGAAGAAGTAGACTAAAAGTGAACACACATAAACCAGGATTACACACACACACACACACACACACACACATGCACAAACATGAACCTCTCGACATGCACTGATGGAGAGATACCAGAGTGAAGTGTTTGAACGAAAGCACAACCGAGCAGTTTTTGGGGTTCAGTGCCTTTTTGGTCGAGGAAAGTAAAACAACCAAACTCTATTCCTTTGATCCAACAGGGACTTGAACCGGGCCAACCCTCAAGTTACCAGCCCATATATTATTTTATTCCTTTAACTTTTCCCACGTCATCCTCAGCACACACTGTCTTTATGTGGTCAATCTGCACAACTTAATGACAACCCCTATGGGGAAATATAGCCTACAGTACACTAGAGGGCAGCACTTGATTAATAATAAGAAGACAGAGTGAGCAGTGGATTATTCTTATAGACACACACACACACACACACACACACACACACACACACACACACACACACAGACAGACAGACTGACAGACACACACACACACGCACACACACGCACACACACGCACACGCACACACAGACACACACACACACATGCACAAACACACACACACACGCACACACACGCACACACGCACACACACATGCACAAACACACACACACACACACACACACACACACACACACACACACACACATGATTTGCAAGTCTTGACTTCAGCAGAAGTGAGTCATCATTCTGTAACGTCTCCCTCTCTCATCTACAGGATGCACCTGCAAGCCTCGTGTCCTCATTTGACCTCATGTAAATTAGGGGTTGAGGACCTTTCTGTTACTTTATGCTTGACTGGAAACATGCTGATGTTTTAATGAATAATAATTCAAAAGTTTGAGTTTTTAATATTGTACATATTTACAGGCCACACATGTTAACATGTCACAAGTGATTCAGAGATATATTGGCAAACTACCTTTAAATATAGAACATAAACATTTATAAGAGACAATACAGATTCACTCTCATTGTAAACTTGGCAGTAATACACTGTATATATTTGAGATTTGAGGCAGAAAAAAAAACAGTCAGATTGAATCAAAGCTCCTCCTCCTGTCACTCACTCTCAGTCTCTGTGCTGTATTAAATGGCTCCTCCAGCTCCTCCTCTCCTCATCCTCCAAAGCCTCTAATCTGTCAGCAGTGAGCTCACTTTCCAAGTTCCAAGGCCATTCTCAGCACACACTGACAACATGCTGGGGACCCTGTGCACTCTCATCACTGCTCTAACATGTAAGGAGGCTGACTTACTGCAGCTTTGAGCTCATGTTGGATTCATCAGTCTGTGTGTTTCTCTTGACTCCATGTCATCTTGTTGTTTCCAGGTGTGAGTGCTGTGACGCTGGTGACACAGAAGCCTCCTGTTGTGACTCTGAGGAGAGGAGAGACAGCCACCATGGACTGTAACTCTGCTCTAGATGGACCTCGCTTTTACAAGCAGATTCCAGGAGGTGTTCCTCAGTTTATACTGAATTATTATCACAGCTGGAGCTCTCCAAAGTATGGCTCTGGTTTCTCCTCTCCGAAATTCACATGTACCCATCAGTCAGGATCTGATTATCGTTTCACCATCAATAACGTGGAGGAGAGAGACTCAGCAGTTTATTACTGTCAGACATGGGACAGCTCTGTCAATGAGTACGTATCACAGTGATTTACACCGTGACAAAAACCTCCTCACTGAACACTTCTGCTTTTTGACTCTCTGACACATTAACTAAAGCCCCCTGTAACTACCAACCAGTGTCCTCAGTGTATTCTTGATAGACCACTTTGATTAAAAAAAAAAAAAACACTCACCATTTATTTATCATCAGTAAACATGAAGACATAACATATTTCAGTGTTTTCAGACTCTTTTTCTTTAAATTTCATAATATGTCATTTTGCAAACCATGAAGCCACCATTCAAATAGTTTTCTAGTATATGCTGTGTTTCTTTTAGTGAGAGTGTTACTTAATGAAATAAAAAAAAAACAAGAAAAAGTCAAATTTAACATTTAAGGTCACAGAGAATAAAACATTTTTTTTAATATTAACTATGAATCCAAATTAAATGACACAATCAGGACATCAGCAAACGTCTTTAGTAAAGTCAACAACATGACAAACAGGAACAAACAGACATAAATCCTGTCTGTTATTAATGAATGAAAACAGTGCTGAGTGTGTAAACTCCTCCTCCTCCTCTCCCTCCTCCTCCTCCTCCTCTTCCTCCCCCTCTCCTCCTCTCCTCAGTGTCTTTATAAGCTTCAGTGTCTCTTCTCCTCACACTCCAACCCTGCTCACCTCTCAGCTGGACAGTAAGGGACGTTTACAGCACACACTGACAACATGCTGGGGACCCTGTGCACTCTCATCACTGCTCTAACATGTAAGGAGGCTGACTTACTGCAGCTTTGAGCTCATGTTGGATTCATCAGTCTGTGTGTTTCTCTTGACTCCATGTCATCTTGTTGTTTCCAGGTGTGAGTGCTGTGACGCTGGTGACACAGAAGCCTCCTGTTGTGACTCTGAGGAGAGGAGAGACAGCCACCATGGACTGTAACCTGGGGACTGTGACTAACAGTTATGCTTATTGGTACAAACAGATTCCAGGAGGAGTTCCTCAGTTTATTCTCTGGAACTATCACAGCAGCTCTCCAAGCTATGGCTCTGGGTTCTCCTCTCCAAAGTTCACATCCACTCATCAGTCACAATCAGATTATCGTTTGATCATCAGCACTGTGGAGGAGAGAGACTCAGCAGTTTATTACTGTCAGATATGGGACGACTCTGTCAAAGAGTACGTATCACAGTGATTTACACCATGACAAAAACCTCCTCACTGAACACTTCTGCTTTTTGACTCTCTGACACATTAACTAAAGCCCCCTGCAACTACCAACCAGTGTCCTCAGTGTATTCTTGATAGACCACTTTGATGTAAAAAAAAAAACACACTCCAACCCTGCTCACCTCTCAGCTGGACATTAAGGGACCTTCGTATGATTGTTTTCTTTAAATTCATAAAGTTATCAAAATAATTTGAACTGTAACAACTACAAATTTAATTTAGAAATAAAGTTCACCTTGCTATATTTGTGAGTCCAACGTTTAGGGAAGTTCAATCAGATGAAACAGGAGATAACTATAGGCTATTTGTGTTAATATCATACTGTTCATTATTTGATACCCATTGCAGAGACCATGAGCCAGTTTATAGCTCAGAGAAGAGATTTCACATTGTTTGATTAGACTGATGAAATCCTGATTCTGTTTGATTCATCCTTCAGCCTCAGGCCAAATGTTTGTCTGGAAACAGAAAAGTGTGTCAAAGTTGACTTTAGAAAGAGAAGAAGAAGAAGAAGAGACAAACTTCATGATGTTGGAAACATGTCACAGAATCACAGGAATGATGTGTTTACAATCTCAAGAGTCAATATAATAACAGAAGATGATTTCTTAGAGAGAGAACATTTCATGAGAAGTGTGACGAAAGTGAGATATCAATCAATCAATCAATTTTTATTTGTATATCGTCAACTCATAACAAGTGTTATCTCGAGACACTTTATAAAAAGCAGGTAAAAGACCTTACTTATTGCTATATTCCAAAGACCGTCAACCAACGATTTTGAGGAGCCTAAGAGAGCTCAAGAGCTCCCAGGAAAGTAGATGGTTAGTGACTGAGATTTACAGATAGATACATGCAGTAATATGATGTACTGTATATGCACACAGAGAGAGAGAGCGAGAGAGAGAGAGAGAGAGAGCGAGAGAGAGAGAGAGAGAGCGAGAGAGAGAGAGAGAGAGAGAGAGAGAGAGAGAGAGAGAGGAGCTCAAGGTGCCAGTTCCCCTGGTAGTCTAAGCCTATAGCAGCATAACTAGGAGCTGGTCTACACCAGCACTAGCCCTAACTATAAGATTTATCAAAAAGCAAAGTTTTAAGTCTATTCTTAAAAATACAGAATGTGTCTGCCTCCCGGACCCCGGCTGGAAGATGATTCCAGAGGAGAGGAGCCTGATAACTGAAGGCTTTACCTCCCATAGTACACTTAGAGACTGTAGGTACCACTAGCAGGCCCACATTCTGGGACCGTAATGTTCTTGAAGAACTAATAGTCATTCTGTCGCTGGACGGAGAGGACGCTGGCGTGTTTGTTCACCTCTTCTCCAGCTAAGCCTAAGTGTCGACTACTCTTGATTATTGCTGTATTACTTTGACCTATCCCTCCGTCTCTTGTGTCTTATGATTTAACCTCAGTTTAATCCTAAAGGTTAAATTTCACTTTATAGCTTCTTTTGAGCGTTCACATAGCCTACCTGTCGTCGGCACCTGTCAACGCCGGCTTCAGACCTTCGGCCCCCCACTACCGACTACCGGATCCTCTGGTAGTAGCAACAATAACTCCACTCCTGCATGCAGCGCCGCCATTAAAACCTTTGGACTACTACGACGACCCAGATACATCCACAGAAGCTCCCGGCTCAAGTTTGTTTACTCCTGGTCTAGCCAGCATGGCTACTCCATCCCATCACTCTGGTCAGCTGAGCGGACTGACACACCTCCACTACGTCATCATCACAACAACAAGCAGACACGCTCTCCCTGTCTATGAGCCCTGCCTCGAGCTCCCCTGGACATTAACACCATGCAAAACCAGATGGTGATTTTAACATACACTTAGACTCCACAAATTCAACAATAACCACTGAATTCATCGAAATACTGAACTGCTTCAATTTAACTCAACATGTCAACTTCCCCACCCACAACCACAGTCACATCCTGGATCTAGTCTGTTCCACTTGTCTCTCCATAAATAACCTCTCAGGCATGGATCTTACCATCTCCAACCACCTAGCTATTAACATTAACATTGACATTCCCACCCCCCTGCCAAAACAAAAATGCTCAATCCACTTCCGCAAACTCAACACTGTCTCTCCTTCCGCTCTATCATCTGCCCTTGTGATAGGTGTAATTTATTTGAGTCATAAGTTATAAATACATTCATGGAGAAATAAATATGATTTTAGTGACATAAAACAGCGAATTCTTGTAAAAAATGTCATAAAACAATTGTAGAAGTTCATTTAAGTTTAATAATTTGTAAAAGATATCAGTGTTAAAACAGATTCAGTCTGAAGGATTTATAACACTTTAAAGATTATTTTTTTGTTAAAAATCTTTGAAATAGACAGATATGTCTGCCAAGATTTATGAATCTGTCATCTACCTGTAATGTCTATCAAGAGATAATGCATGTGATTGATTAGTTATGCCTGCCGAGGCCGGAAGGGGGAGCTCTCAGCCACGATGCCTCATTCTGCATGACGCTGACAGAGGAAGCATCGTGTCTTGAGTCCATTTATTCATTTTACCCTTTTTCAGGTAAAAAGATAATATATATCTGTGTTTATCTACAAAGGATGTTTCTAGGGATGTTTTCGTGTTTATTGTTAGGAACTTACAGAAAGGTTGATGTTTAAAACGTTGTATTTACATTTGATGAAAGTTCAGTGAGACACTAAGCTAGGTTAGCTCCGTGTTCTATGTCGTGCACACGTCACCACACGAGGTCAGTGTTGGCATGAGCGTGTGTGTAGGTCTGGATGTATGTGCATATTAAGATTATTAAGAATCTGAAAGTGTTTATAAGAATAGTCATGGTTGAGAATATCCATGTTTAATCGTGTCAGTGAGCATATATATTTTTTTGTTAGGAAGAAATTGTTCAACAGAAGAATGAGAAATTAAAGAAAGAAATATGAAGCAAAGTGATAAACAGGATATTTTTGTTTGTATTTTCAACACAGTTGATAATTTTATTTTATTGTACTTACCTGTTATGTTTCATATTTGCCTGTGAAAAGAAATGTTAAAAGAAAGCACCATTGTGACTATGTGGATCATTTTGAAAAAGATCAATTTTGCATTCTGCATGACGCTGACAGAGGAAGCATCGTGTCTTGAGTCCATTTATTCATTTTACCCTTTTTCAGGGCAAAACACCCTCATGGACAAAATGTCTGCCTTCCCTCCCTGTGACCTCACCGCTCCCTTTGACCTCACCGACTACTACATCCACACTCTCTCCTCCTGCCTTGACCAGCTCGCACCAATTAAAACCAAAACAATCTCCTTCACCCATTCTGCTCCCTGGTTCACTTCTGACCTCTGTCACATGAAAACCCATGCCCGTCAACTGGAAAGACTATGCAACAAAACCGGACTCACTGCACACGCTCAAGCCTACAAAGATCACCTCCAACTATACAAAGATGCCCTCTCCTACGCCCAATCCACCTACTACTCCCATCTCATATAGTCTGGCTCCATGAGCCCCAAATCACTATTCTCCACCATCAACAAACTCCTCAACCCTTTGGACAACGGTTCCCAATCCTTCACAGCAGACAAATGCACCTCCTTCCTGTCATTCTTCCAAACAAAAATAGACACCATCTACAACAACCTGGCGCCTCTTTTACCTGTCCCGCCTTCTTTCCCTTCCCCCACCTTAACCTCTCAGCAACTGTCCCAGTTCTCCCCTGTCTCCCCTGCAGAGCTCTCTGACCTCATCACGGGAATGAAAACCTCCACCTGCCTTCTGGACCCCATCCCCACCAGTCTTGTCAAGGCCTGCCTTCCCACCC